TCAGGTTTTGAATACACTATACGAAACAGAAGCCTTAGGAGCCATTAGTAATATGTACTGCAGTAAAATAACCCCAGCTTTGAGCTTTTTTGCACACTAAACACAAAAAATCGGAGCATTATATCGAATTAGTGATCAGTCGGGAATATGAAAATTTAGTGCAAATGGAACTGATGACGTTACCACTGACTTGTAATATTTATTAATGTTGTCAATTATCAGAGTAGCACTTTGCCTAATGAGTTTAAAAAAAATGCAGTTGTTTAGCTACAAAAAGATAATGATGATAATGATTGATAGTGATGGTGGGATATGGTAATGGTGGGATATTTGTAGTGCGCCTTCCACAATAAAATCGTCTCAAGGCGCCGAAAAAAGGTAGGACCAAGAATTTAAAAGAAATTAAATTATATTATATCTTATAATAAAGAGCCTATATTAATCAGAATATTTTTTGATATCATCAAAAGATACATAACGGACACATACCAGAATTCATTCTTTGAATCCTGAGGTTTTTTTCTTCGAGTTATTCACTAAATATTTCCAGACGGTGAAGGAAGTCAGTGTCCTAGATCTGAGCAGTTACAGCTCCTACGTGCCGAGTCAAGAGGCCGACTGCTTGCTTTGGACCGGTTCTGTTTTACCGGTACACTAGGGGAGACCTACAGCAACTGCAGCGTTTCCTCCTCTGTTGTTTCCTGCTGCGAAACACCTCTTTTGAAAAACCTAACTTTAACAAACGTCCATGAAAATATATAATTATAGTCTAATTACAAATACCAATGTTGGATACACTGAAGCATTATCAGGTGCGAAATTGCATTGTCAAAAATTAATAACGGTCTATGATATTTGACTATATGAGAGTCGTCTTTGGACAGAATATATTAATAACACTATTTATAATTAAAATGGAAATTGTTAATCGATATACGGAGATGGCTTACCAGCTTATCAATAGTAACTGGGTGCTTAGCAAAATCAATTATCAAATTTGCTATTGAAGATAAATGTTGATGTTATGACTCCTGCGAAATTCTGAAGGCCTGTACGACGAAATATATAAGATGTATTGTCCCATGAAAAATACCATAAAAACATCATAAACATCAGTTTGAAATTAACTTGCTCATTTCGAAGTAACATAATATCTATCAACTTGAACATAGAAATTAGTGTATTTAAAAAAATTGTACCCAAAATGTTACACCGAAAAATGATATAACCACTTCCAGCCACATTCTTTTTTTTAATTCAATAATTTCTATGCTCAAATTAATAATGTGTATGTGATTTTTTTAAATAATTTTATCATTATCTGGAAACAATACATCTTTAACGAAATTATCTCTTTGCTTATTTAAAAATCTAAATATTAAAACAACACAAGAAGAGTCCAACAAATTAAGGGTTGCTCAGCACAGAGAGGCCTATTCAAAAATCGGGATCGGCCAGTGGCGATTTCACTTTTTTATGCTAAAGTCCAAAAGCCTGAATTCTAGGATTTAACTGTCAACTGCCACACATATCTTAGTTGATAAATAGTTAACTGCACTGGTTAGGGTTGTTAATCAATTAATTTATTATTTAAAGTTTGATATTGCCTTTTTCAAAAATTATAAAGTATCTTGGGCTTGATATGTTAAAACCGTACTATTTTTTCTTTAAAAAAAATTTCTTTATACTTAAGGTGGGACGGTTTGGGGCAACACAGACTTCGTTGTCCTGATTTATCTTTCGCTGTTAGCATTTAAACGTACCTGATCCAACAATACAGGAAACTGCAATATTGACTTTTCCTCTTTTCAACCGGTGTGTATAATGCTTATAAGCCTAAATGCTCACATAAATAACAGAGTAGCCAGGAAGATCACAGTGAGTACACTATTTGCGTCCAGTTACCTAGCAGCGCGTGAATGTGTTCGTCAAAGGTCGAGTCTCATAGCAGATTTTCACTTTATCAATGTAGCACATTTGCAGACGGACGTCATTGTCGAAAGAAACGGACCAGAACACTTACTTATCAAACGATATGTTGACGAGTATTCATTTACAGACAACATTCATACTACAATTACTGACGAGTTCAACGCTGTAATTATAACGATTTAAACGGAATATTTAAACAAACGGAAATGTGTCTTATAAACACCAACGTAATTTTAATGTTTGATGTATTTTTTAAGAGGGCGCAAGTTAAACCAAACTGCTACAAAGTCCATCTTTGCGTAAATTCAGCAGCATTTACTGCATTAGATAGGCGGGAACATATATCGTTGTCTCAGATATATCTATCAAAAAACTATCAATCGAATAAAATTAATGAAGTAAAAGTGACTTATAAAAAATAGACCTGTGTTGTAATTGTGCTATTATAGCATCATTAGGGCCTAAGAATCTGATTGGAATGGATGGTGAAGTTTGATGAATAAGTGAGGGGTTAGCTCATAAAATTAGGTGATACGAGGTAATTGTTATCTACTTGAGCATGATTTTTTTGCTTGGAATACTTATTTAAAATGGGGGTGGGGAGCTCATAAAATAAGGTGATACGAGGTAATTGTTATCTACTTGATCATTATTTTTATGCTTGGAATACTTATTTAAAATGGGGGTTGGGGAGGTTGGAGAGCGACTTTATTTAGGGGAATCACCCACACTCCAAGGGCTGATCCAGAATTGTTTTAAACAGGGGGAAAACATTTTCAATACATAACATTGATATGCATTGACAATAAATTTAGAAGCAAAACGGGGGAACGTGTCTCCCCATTCCCCCACCGGATGTGCACCCTCCCGTAGATATGCTACTGTTTAGGAATATTGATAAAAAATCAAAGTTTATTATCAGTATATTGTTGTGAAAGCAATGTAGAGAGTATATAAGACAGAGGGTGGTTTAAAGTGAGATTTCACATGTTATATATATATATTCCAATGTATTTTAAAATATAAATCAGTAAATGTACGTGTCAATGAACATTAGGTCATGCGTGGCTCGACTTCCAATCTTCAACAGGAATACAAAGATGAATAGAAGTGTGTAAATAGGAGTCAGCAAATTGTAGGTATACAAAATAGAACGCACCAAGGGAACATTAAAAGCACTGCTGTTGTTTTGTAATATATTTTGAGAATTTCCAAATACGTACCTATATGAAATAAACAGTTACTCTATTAATTTATATATTTATGGCTTTAAGCACACACACATCGCCAAGGATTGCCAATACTGAATACACCACTGTCCTACTCATAGGTAACAATCCCTTTCACAAAACAAACATACACACATGATGCTTTACACAAAAATTCAGAATTCAGCTATTTTCAGATGTGTGAGGGCCTTCTAAATATGGTACATTTTTTCGGAGTTTTATGTACATTTTATGCACGTCTGTGTTTTAACAGCAAAATAAATGAAAATATGGTAAATATTCTATTTTAAGACTATCATTTAATAAGTAATGTACATTAGAAATGTAGTGCCAATAATATTTACAGTTATAAGTCAGCACTTTTGAAAAGAAAGGTGGTCAAATCAAAAACCCAAAGTTCATGCTTCAATACCAACATTTTTGTTTGCCTACTTACGAGGGCGCTATACAGTTTATTTGCAATAAACTTATATTACAGTGGGCACGACAGTTGCTCTGCAAATTGGTATTTAAATCAAACAAAATATCACTGTGCTGAATTCCAAGCATAATTTATCCAATATATACTACATAAATATATCCGATTGTAATTATATATATAAATATAATTCTCTGATTAGTACCAGACATAAAAATGTTGAAATTGATATCTGTGCATGTTTTAATGTGCTTTAGCTTTTACTAATCTTTTGCAGAAAAAAGTATATACTATTCAGCGTATCTCACAATCTACTTAAAAATTGCTCGAGATACCTGTACAGTATTTAAATCTAATTTTACCTCTAAGATGTCATTATTAAAATACATCCACTAAACAGTGGTTATCAAATATAAATAGAAACACAGTTTTGAGATGGCCAAGCAGGGGTGCCGCAACGTAGTCATAATATCGGCGATAGTTTGAACAGTACTCTCGTCTATGGTTCTGGTGGTGGAACAAGTCTTCTCGGATAAAGAAAATAAACCGTAGGCCCAGTGTACACAATTTGGCTCAAGTACACTTTACAGAACCCAGTACATCTTTCGGAACAAATAGGAGGTTACCCCGGTGTATGGTCCATCCAGCCCTTGTAGTGGATATGTGAGAGTAGTTGGTACTGGTTTACTGGGTAGCTCAGACATGATAAGACTCTTAGGGCCTGCTTCTGCTCAGCAAAAAAACACGTGTTTTCAAACGGTTATTAAGAAACACATGTTTTTTCCCCAGTAGAAACGGCCCATAAAACAAAAACACGGTTATGAATGCATTCTAAAAATGCGTGTTTTTACACGCATTCGTTCGCGTTCAGAAAACGTGTTTCGTGGTACACTTTTCAGCTGCAACACAATACCGTGTTAGTCATGACCCGTCGGTGACCCGAATTGACTTCTTCGTTGGTTTGATCGCTTGTCTGCAGGAAATTTGGGGCGAAGAAAAAAATTAAACCATTAAGATGACATGCTTGAAGATCGTACCATACTTTTTTCTTCCTTTCGTGGTGTGTTGTTTACTTCTTTCACAGCATGCGCTGTAGCTTGCAAAAAGTAAGGTCAGCTTCAACTTCCGTTGGTCATTTAAGTTCCGCCCACCTGCCAATTCTCGCATTACCATGTTTTTATTAGTTGCACTTTTCACTAGAAACAGGTTCGGAAGGAATTTAACCGTTTATAAACAAACGTGTATTTGGATTAATTCAGCAGAAACACCCTTTGAGGTGAAGCAAGTTACTGTAAAAGCTAGTCCACACCTCGAGACCATTTCAGTATAAAGTGCTATATAAATCTACCTACATTTCCAAAATTTCGATTCAGAGGTTTAATTTTAGAAGAAACCTAAAATTTATTTTCAGGCATTGTTAAATGTATTTTAATGTATAGCAATATTTTTTAAAGTAGCTAATGGAAGCATTATTCTCTTAAAATGTTTGTCGTCTATTTACAGACTTGACTGTTGGTACAGGATAGTATGTTCCTCCAGGATGGTATGTTCCCCCATAAAAGTCTCAGGAGAGTAATGAAACAAGGGCATCAAAGAACTTGCTTCTATCTTCTGTTTTCAGTGCAAAAACTGTTGAAGGAAAAAACAAACCAAACAAATGAAAAAATAAAAATAATCCACAGTACATAAGTATACCCCTGAAAGTCTACAAAAACCAAATATATGCAAATATGTATAATTTTTTCATCCCTAATGACGATATAATTAATGTTGAAATATTTAATCCCAACACGATGGAATGCCTTTCAATACTTGGAGAATGTATTATACTATCTGACATACAATAAATCGCCCAAAAATCTACTGAAACTTGGTTGTCGCCTTATACGTGAGAATAGACAGTATTTTCCTTAGATCTTTATAAGCACTTTTTTTATTATCATTGGTAATTTTTTTTCCATATAATATATTATTATTCAAGACATGTGCAATTCTTATACCGTAAAACCTCGAATTGAAGCCCAGTCGGCTTAATCTCAAAATGAAGCCCATCTCGAATGTTTGCAAAATTAACCTCAAAAAGAAGACCATGGGCCTCTCTTCAAGATAGCATAGCTTCTTTTTTAAGATAGTAGAGTACATACGCTGTACATGAATTTAAAAAAACAAAATAAATTAAAAACAAGGTTGGTTTCAGTAGTTTAGCTGATGTCATGCCAGTTAAATACACTCCATGATGCAGATTGGTGTTACAGTGGCCTTACTAATTGTTTTATAGTACAAATTCACAAATTTACAGCATTCTTTTTGAATAGAAGCCCCCACTCTTTACTTGGAAAAGGTAGCCTCGAAAAGAAGCCCACCCAAAATTTGCAAAAAAAAAAGAGCCCAGGGCTTCAGTTTGAGATTTTCACGGTATACCAAATAAAACATGGTATAAAAAAAAACTAAAAATAAGAATCTGTCTTTGGCTTACTTGAAGGGTCAAAACTATCATGCAGAACACGAGAACCTGTCTTCTCCGCTGTCTGCTCAAATGCACGCCCAAACAAACTAAGGAAATAAATGAAAATGGTGTTGAAAACCTGAGAAATTTTTTTGAAGTAAAGCTGAAAAAGTTAGTGATTAGCAAAGGAACAATTATGTGAATCTTAATATACCTTCTAGGAGAGTTTTCCAATTCCATCAGTGGGGGTACACCAACGACCAATGATGTCCCTTGTTCTGTATCTAAAGGCGCAACCATCACCAATGGCAGATTTTTCACTTTCTTACTTTTAGACTGAAGAAAAAGAAATTAATATATACATAAACTAACTGTATGGTAATAATTGATAAAATAACACCTATAAAAATTATTAATGATGATGATAATGACATTTATGATGATGGTGATGACAATAATGAACAATGAAGACAATAATGAGCAATGATGAAGATGACGATGAGGATTATAATAATATTATTAATAATGATGTAGAGTAGTATTCGATCTTGAATTCCAAGAACTTATATAATACCAGTAATCCAGCTTGGTAAGTAAGCTGGTAACAGCCAATGTGTGTGCACTGAACCATAAGATAACCTACAGTTTGCCTTCTATTTCGAGACAAATTTGAGACCACTTTTTCAAAGTATCAACTAACAACCTTTTGACACAAACCTAACCCTCTAAAAAGACCGAACCCTTAGATTACCCTACATTTTCAGGTCCCAATAGAAGTCTCGAATAGACACATTCCGCTAGTTTTGTCACGTGAAGTATAGTGGGTATCAATTGTAAACATGCAATGCGAGTGACGCTTGGTATAGGAAGACATGTACATTCTTCAGTGTGTTTATGCTGTAAAGCACATTTTTGATGTTGAATAATGTTGGTTGGAATGCCAGTAACTATACCAAATTGATTGGAAATTGAATGGAGAGTTTTGCCATAATGGTTTGCTAATGCTCCAAGAGATGATAGCCCCAAACATTGAGAAAATGCAAGGCCTAGGCCCCTGCATGTCTACGGCCTGCTTACGTATGTTCGAGATTCGTTGATCTGCGAACTGCGATTTTGACACTCTACAATTTTTAGGCTAGCTTAGGTTTACGAAGGATCACATACATTCAAAAGCATACAAAGCACATTGAACGCTAGAATAAGTAAATAAACACTATTTTGAACAATGGTACTGCCTATTCTTGCCAGTTATTTCTCACGTTAATGGTGGGTGAATATTTTCGAAACCATAGCATTACCCTTTCCTATACTTTAACACTGATCGCACTGTAAATTCAAAAGAGTAACACCTACTATATGTCACATGACCAGCTGTAAACAAACATCGCAGAATGTGTCTACTTGAAAGCTAACTGTATAAAATAGGTGTGCTTATATCTGATGAATCCTCTTTTCTATCAAATGGCAATTTTTTAGCACTGTATGCCTAATTCAAAGAGATTATTTGTAGAAGTCATACACTGAGCTTTTGCCAGAGAGGCGGCCGGTATGTAGAATTGGGTTTAAAGTAGGTGGTGTGCTTACACCACGGTAAGTACCATTTTTACGAAGGCCTCAAGCGTGAACCGTGCTAACAGTGCAAGGCAGTTAGCCTTAGAGAAGAACCTGACATCAGGCGTTCCTTCTTGGATGTAGGCATACAGGAAGGGTCCAGCTGAGACCACATGGTTCATGTCCAGTAAGGTTTGAATTTGGCTGACGATGGCCTTGTGTTGTCGCTTACTCAGTTCCAGGCCATGCTGAAGCTTGTCCAGATGCACCCTGTGTTTAAAGTGATAAAATGTATATGTTAATGAAGCGGTTCCTCTCTACATTTAGGCCTACTTAATTTTTAATTTTTTTAAATGCAGTTAAAGCATATTTCTTCTTTAAAAAAAAAATAATCGCAATTGAGTATGGATAATTCTGCAAAATAAAATTGGTTAATATTTCTCAGTGCATATACTACATATATAATTGTATGGTTTACTTTTAATAGATCATTACATTTTGTAAAATGGAAAATTATTTGATTTTTTTTTTTTTTTTTACAAAGCAACAAATGAAAAAAAAATTAAAATTAAGACATTTAATCAAATTAATATAAATAAATGTAGTTAGTATCTGTTTACTTATGTTTATCACGGATGCAATGGTAAACAATAGCTTGTTAGGTTGATTGTTTCAAACACTAACATCAAATAACAGTTCACTGCCACTCGACACATATTACAAGGAACAAAAAATAGAACCACTGTCTTACCTTGACAGTGCATCTAGTGCTTCCAAGAAGTTCTCCTCACCATTCTTATCTTTCTCCTAAAAAAGAGTTATACTATAAATTAATATCAATGACGAAGCTTGAAAAAGAAATGTTTGTGACTCCAACCATGAAAATTGTCCCGATAGAATGCCTTCAGCACTAAATGTTAACTGTACACTGTAATAGCCCAACAGTTTATTTTTCTTTTTATATTTTTCCCCAAAAATGCCTCCAGCACATTCAATGCGGGTCGTGCACTTTTTCCAACCCTGCTAATGACAGGTGACAAGCAACACATGTTTTACAGAATGAAAATATACAATATTGAAGGTTTGGTTTTGTATTCCAAACGCAAAATATCCTGGGATTAGGCGAGTCGTGTAGCCGAGCAGTATAAGGCAGGCACCATTAAGTACATCCTTAACATCGGCGCTGTTTTGAGCAGCTCCACTTCCAAAGTTTGGTTGGTAGAACCAAGTCTTCTCGGATTACAACTTAAAAACAGGCTGTCCAGTGTATTCATCTGCCTCGTGTGCACTTTAAAGAACCTATTCCGTCTTTTAAAGTAGGGGTTACCCAGATGCTATGGCACAATAACTCTGTGAGTTGTGTGTTATTCTACTACCTTTATCCCCTTTTAAATCCCAGAACATTTGGATTGGAAGGCATGCAACTTCTTACCACTAAAACTAAATAAAACAAAATCAGCATAAATTATAAATTACATTAAAAAGTAAATGATATCACTTACTATTGATTCCAATAAAGCAGATGTAGCATGGACTGCATCAAAAGCACAAAACTGATCAGAAAGAAAAATAACACATCATGAATAATTACAATTGATAACCATAATTTAAAATGACGAATGAGTGGTGGATCTAGGAATTTTAAATAGAGGGTGATCAGGGAGGGACTTTCACCAATAACAGTGAATGGTTAAGATTAGTAGTGCAGTACACTCTGTGTATGAAATTGGTTCTGGAGATAATCTTGGCTTAAGAAGTGTTGTTGAGACAACCTTCAAACCAAGTCGTTTGCAGTACATGGTGTACTACCAATCTGCCATGTTGAAATACAGACACTATCATCAACCATATAAGTTTGTCCCTATCGTTCCATTAATCCACTAAAGCAGTCACTCCAAAGAGGGCATACCCCCGCCCTGTGTTTTTCTTTTATGCTCAAGGGTAGATTTAAAGAAACAAATATATTGAATTTCCATTATTTTCACCTTTGATTGTTTCTATCCTAAAATTTTATTCATCTCTTAGATTATTATGATGATCTTGCTAACAGGCAGAGGTTATTACATAACCTACTTGGTGGAGGTAATTATTATTTTACTATGTAGAAAGATCAGAGGAATAAACATGAATTTGATAGTTTTTTTTATTATAAAAAGCTGTTAAACTTACCTTATTTTTGTAACCAAACTGAGCATAAAAAGAAGGAACAGTGATTTGATCCAATCTACATAAATTTAAAAAAAAAACAAAAAAACTCATCATAAAAAAGAAAGAATGCTAAATTCTCATGGGCTATTGAAATTTCAATTCTCCTTGTGTCTTGAAAATATGTCTCTTTTTACATGGACTTATTTTATAAAATAATATAATACAATGATTATTTAGAGCAAAATAAAGGTAAGGTTTAACAAAACTGGTAAAATATGGGAAAACTAATATTAACTTATTATCATTATACCAATTCACTAGCACTAACTTCCATACTGTCCAAAAAAAAAGAACAGCAAGGTCAACGAACAATGTGGCGTAAAATGGTGGCAAAAAGAATAACTGGTGGGATATAATACCAGGTGTAGCAGACAGGTGGAGCAAATGCATACATCAAAGTGGGCCAATCAGTGCACGGCCAACGGTAGTCAGCTGACACGATTCTATGGGGAAAGAAATGCCATGACGTGCGCGCAACGGATCGTTTTTAATGATGGATTGGCCGGGCCTCATATGATGCAGTGACGGCCGCGCTTTCATTATACCAACATGACACAAAGACGTTTAGGTAACAAGTAATAATCCCTGATACAACACTTACCCATATTTCTTGCCAGATGTCTGCAAGGAATCACAGAATGTTTCTCTGTATGTTATGTCCATTGCTGTGAACTTCTGTTTACATTGTGTAAGGGGCATTCCCATGTCTGCAAGAAACTCATGCAGCTTCTTGAATCCTCTCACAGTCCATAATCGCAAACTATATTGGGAAACAATTATTAAATCAAATAGGATAATTTCTTAACTATGACTTCAATGATACTGATATTGATTTTAATGTCCACATAAAAATGGAAATACATTTTTAAAATGGCAGAACACACCATACTGTAGGCCCCTTTCAATGTATACATTGGCCTGGATGAAATGCTGGCAGCTGACTGGTAGAAAATAGATTCCCCCAGTATGGGCCAAATGCACAGGAAATCTGGATACTGGTTATCTTTTTTTTTTGTTTGTGCCAAAAATACAAAAGTTATATGGATAAAATTCACATATGATAGCAGCTTAGCTTAGTCGGCTAATCTGGTGGTAGCCACTGTATGTGCGCTGAACCGGTTCAATTCCCATCGCTGCCTCTCCTTGTGTTTCAGCTGGAGGGCTAAAATACAAGCTACAATAGTGCACCGTCTTTCGGATTAAACATTAAGGCCGGTGGGCTATCCTTGGTGTTTACACCGAATAAATCCAATCCAATATGTCATAGTTATTTATTAGGAATCGACAAGAAAAATATAAATTTTCTGAAGAGAAAATGACTTCAATAATTGAATAAAAGTATAAAAATTATAATTTCTTATTTTTTACTTTTTTTTTAAATTCCTAATATATATAATTATGATATGCAAATTTCATCCATGAAGCTATTGTGTTTTGGCACAAAAAAGACCAGTATCATTTGACTTCCATGCCTTTTTTCCTAGGCATAAAGGGTGCCACCATAGTGAAAATCATTCTCATCAACTGACAATGAAACAAGAACAAACATACAGTATTTATTTTTAGATCATTACTTCTGGAATCTTCCCTGAAAATCTAGATTGAGAGTTCACATTGAGGTGACCACTCCCTGCTAGTTTACGTGCAATATAATAGTGGTAAGTTTAAACCCTGTCGGACGTGAACTAGCGGGAAGGTCCATCGGTTGGTAATGGTACACAATAAGGTTCACAACGTCAACTAAAAACCTACTTGCAAGCTGTGTAGGATGAGTGACATATGCTATCAAAGAGCGACCAATGACGATACAGGGCTAGTTGAAGTCTGACAAACGTTAAGGAAGATTTCACAGCTAGTTTGCATATAATGCCTAAACACTACCACGACAAGAGAAAATGCTAAAATGGTACTAATTACATGTTGGATACATATAATGTCCAAAATAATCATTCTCTATTAAAACAAAACGGCATGTTCAGACGAGTTGTAAGTAAAGTCTGTCTGTCGGAGTATGTAAAAAGAGTATAGAAAATAAAGAGAGTACAGTCATTTCATTTCATTTCTTTAGGCACGTGCGCCAAGGATATACCAATAAGTAAACTGAATTACTGTCCTACTTGGCATATCCAATTAACAACAGGGGGCTTAAAGGACCAGTACACTGGGGTAACCCCCTACTCTTCTCGAAGGATGTACTGGGTTCTTTAAAGTGCACACACGCCAAATACGTACACTGGGCCTACGGTTTAAAGTCCTTATACGAGAAGACTGGTTCCACCACCGGAACCATTGTTCCACCACAGGAACCACATTTCTAATACCTCACTCTCCTAGTAACGACAGAAATCCCTGCATTTGGTAGCCCCACCAGGAAGATATTAAAGAGGGCACTCACTTGTCTGTACAGGGGCGCATCATTTGTTTATGCACATAAGAGTGTATTGTGCTCTCTTTTCTATACTTTTTGATGTGCTGTGTAGATGCATTTACTTCAGAGCTCGCAAGTAAACACAACCTTTTGTATGACCTCCCATTTTGCCAAAAAAAAATTTTTTTTAAATAACTATGTAAAATGAGTGGCAAAACAGATGTTTACATATTATAACATTTGTGAAAAAATAACCGTTGAGACAATGAAAGAAGTGATTTTCACTTCTGGAAAATTTGCATTGTACTACTAAGATTTGAAATAAGCACATGTCTTAAAAAACATGGGTATATTGTATGCCTGTCTGTAAATTTACTTCACTGAACATGGCTAGTCAAAGTATAAAACTCTTCATTCTGACAGAGCAAAAACACAACTTTCTTTGAACCTAAAACTGTACTACAAAGAATATTTATCATTTTAAATATACATGTGCAAATAAAATCAAGAAAAGGATACTCTGGATTGAAAGTGATTTTCATGGCATTGACTGACTGAACGGCTGCATCATCCTCCTGTCCCAGGTGGTTGTGCCGCGATACATGTCGATTCAAATCAGATGCATCTAAGAAATACTTATCCCTGAAAATTAATTATTAATAATCATTAATAATAATAAAACTAAAAAAACAATAACAATAATAATAATTATAATAGACAATTATAAATGTTATAATATACAATATACAGCAATCTTTATTGTCCATAATACAGAAATTATTTTTTGACAGAGCTCAATGAAAAATATAGAATGAAAGCAGAGGGCTTTTAAAAATATCATATATACAAAAACACATAAAATATACTGTTAAAAATTGTATAAGATATATAAAATGTACAATGGACCTGCAATAAAAATTATTAAAATTACTTATCTACAAAACAAATTCCAACAATAAATTGCTTATGTAGTTCTATGAACATTTGACAGAACAAGCAAATGATGTACACTTACCTGTCTACCTTCTTCGATAACAGTTGATCTGTAAGACCTATTATTGACCACCTGCGCAAGTAGAATATTAACATAAATTAACCATGAAGCAACGGAACACATAGTTAAAATGGCGGTAAAACATTGGTGTGCTGGACCATGAATTTTATGTTATGGTTCATTTCACACCAGCTGCTCTCCCTCTAAAGATCTCACTGCACTGAACGGTCGTTGGGCGATGCTACACCATGTGAAAGTGGATCCTTTTTAATGATGATCCGTTCAGACTGTGATCGAAAATCAGCAGACACCGTCGGGTCAGATTAACATACAAGTAAAAAATTGTCTTTTGAAAAAGAGTATAAACACGTTGGTCCCACATATAACATGATCCGTGAACATTTAGGCACAAATACGCTGCTTGCAAAAGAGCAAGAGATTCTTATGGTGTAGCATTGCCAACCAACACACCTTCCCACTACTGTAACACATGTGTTTGTATGACATGCTTGTATTCCTGGTCCCCTTCTGATGTCAGTTTTTAAGTTTGATAGACACTCTAGAAATGGCCATTTAGGACAAAGAGGCAGTGCTGCAAACAAGCTGTGGCTCCCACAGTTCCAATTAAAATTTTCCTAATAGCATTTATCTTGGGAAATATAGAGACTACAACGATTTGAAAAAAAAAAAAAATCATACCACAGTAAGTCATTAGAATCCTTGGACAATTTCCAGGCAAGCTGATAAATGACATAGGCTGCCTACAAAACAAAATAACTGACACATGTTAATGTACTGTAGCTGGGAACCAATAATTAAGAAAAAATGTTTAAAATACATTTTATTAGCGACATGCAGTACAGTAGTACTTAAAATTTGTTTTCCCGGTACAATGTAATAGGAATAATGAAAATATAGAAGTATAAACCACAGATTGCACAAAAAACACCTACTGAAAACATGACTAAAATAAATAGCAGAAAAACTAAAATTATCTATGAAATAAATCCTTAGTTTAACATCCTTATTACATTAGGAATAAATGAGTTTTTGTGTCCATTTGTTATTTAAAGATACCAACATATACATCAAATAAATGAAACTAAATAACAATTAGTTTTGTTATTGTTATTGACCAAAATGTACCCAACACAAAATGCCAGTGAAATATTTTGGAAAGAATACAGGAACCAATACTGTATTCACTATTATTATCCTTATTGTAAATTAAATCAGTTGTTCGAAAAGATTTTTCTTTGCTTTACTTCATGTAAATAAAAAGTACACTTACTGATGTGGAATAAAATGAAAACTCTTCATATTGAAAAACAACTTTTTGACGGTTTTCTTCCCATAATCTCCTGGTTCGTTTCCTTTCTAACTTCCGTACTATACTTTCCTATTTGAAATCAACAGCAAATAATTAATTCATAACAAGCTACTGGATATTGCATCTACAATTCCAGAAGCGATACTGTAATGATTGGACCTCTGGCGAGTCGAGTGGTTGAGCAGGTAGTCGCCGCAGACTGGGGCACCGCAGGCTAGAGCTTTGGTGGCTTGCTACAGTATTTCTTCGAAAAGTTTAAAGGCACTAAATCATCAAACAATAACAGCTATAGAAGCTTATGTGCATAAACATTTCACTATAATTTTTGGATCATCAAAAAAGAAGATAACATTGAGCATTAAATTTTGTTACTTTCGCTTTATCAATTGTGAACGCCAACTAATAGGTGCCAGCGAGCAAAAAGCACAGTTGCTATGGGGTGATTGTATTTCAATACTCGACATGGTCTTAATTAAGAAACTGTGTTATACTCTAGCAATGGTCTTACAGAGGCGACTAACGTAAGACCATCTATGTGAAAATGTTGGCTATAATCGACTAATTAACACTACCTGTTTTAGACCGCTTTATACCAATCCCCCCATATTTAAAAACAGAGAGTGTTGAGAAACAAAGAAGCTTTTGATTTTTGCTGCTGTAACATTCTGAATCCATAACTGCTGTAAACTTACTTCGTCAAGTCTCCTCCTCTTGTCTGGTTGTGAGGTGACACTCTCGTTGTCAGAATCATCTGAGTCACTCTTGATTGTATTATTTAAAAAAAAAAGAAAATGATGGGATTAATAAAATGTTAAGCTGAAGAAGTTAAACTTAAGCCATGCCCAGATTATGCCCCAAATTCTATTGGACAAAAAAATGTGAAATGCCTAAATATGGTCATCACATCGCATCATAACCATATATGGGCACAACATGACTATATATGGACATTGTTTGTCAAATAATAGTTTAAACAGGGATTTAGTGATGATATTCTCATCTTCCACTCCATGTTCAATGGTTCTATCCCGCAAATATAATTTTTCCCTACAAATAAAAAATTCTCTATTTCCTACTTCTGACTTATGGGGTATAGAGTGTTATATAATGCCACTGATTGGTATACTTGTTACTTTTAACGATGAAAAAAAAAAAAAAAAAAAAAATTATAACAAATTAAAGTCTGTAGTGGATTTACTACTGTACATCCAAAAATGTTAAAAATACAAAATCATTTACATATTTTAAATTTAGTGCATTTTCTTATAAATATAAATATTACCTCCTCATCATTAAATACATCTTCATAAGCTGGTATCGTCAACTCTTCTGAATCAGTAAGTAAAAGCTTGATCTTGATAAATAAAAAGACATTATCAGACTGAAAACTTTCAACAAACAAATTCTACTCACCAAAGTTTCTGGTTGAAAATACTTTGGTTTATTATAATTACAATTAGATGCAGTACATAGCATAGTACACAACAAATTTCAGAGTTCTGGGTTAAAATCTTGCATTGCTACGGAATACAACAATATTTTACATAATGGAAAAAATATCTACAGTACTGTATGTGCCTTAAGTCGTGTTTACTTTGGATAAATTTATCTACAGAGGTAGTAGGCACCTAAGCCAGCCTACCAACGTTGTACGTACCAGCGGTTAACTCTAGCTAGAGCCCTCGTTTTTGGTAATTTGTATAAATATTTCATTGACTTGTACTGTAAGTAGACTTATATGTACATTTGTCTGTGCTTTCAAAGCCTGTCTGTTTATTTACTGTGTCATGTGTGAACCCTGTGTAGGCCATGGGTACGGCAGCTGTAATCAGTCCAGCACAATTGTCTTTTTGGCCTACCTTTTTTAGTAATTAAAGGTGTAAATTAAAAATCGATATCAAAGCATGGTTATTCTGTCAAAAAGCAAAAAGCTATCCTGCCTGGGCTTTTTTCCGATGGATTGTGTAATTCTGCCCTAGTGTTCGTGTTTCTTTTTTCAAGTTCTTTTTTCTCTTGCAGGCGGTTGGAAGTGAAAAGAAATTCCACCCAGGTGCTAGACTGGAAACAAACTATACTTTTACTATTTTAGCCATACCTTATTTACTGATACCATATTTCTATTTACACTTGGAATTTGATAACCAAATGGCTACTTTAGGTTCCAACATCCAAATGGATCACTAATGCATAAACGTAACAGATAATTAAAATTTGAAAATATGAAAATATTCTAGCACACATTTGAATTTCTCTCACCTGAGTGTCATTGTAAACATTGACCAGATCAATGGGTCTGTGACTGTCACAGACAAAGAATGTGACATCTTCCTCTGGTTGCAGTACATCCAGAAGACTGATGTTTGCCCCACAGTTGATCAGGACCACATGCTTGATCTAAGCATAAGAAAAAAATGTACACACATATCACAATTTTATTAAAAATTTGTATGATATTTTGCTGGATTCCAGAGCATGTTGACTGCCACTAGTCAACATGCTAGTTGCCAATGCAGTTAGTTACCTTAGTGTAAAGTACATCATGACAACCATTGCTTGTTATTTCATTTCATTAAATTATTTATTTGGTCTTTTAACAATATTATGTACAAAAAAGAAAGTGACAAAAAAGAACCTGAAATTTGAGGAGACCATGGTCAACCAAAGTGAACCAAATCACTGTAGCAAAGCCGGTTGACCGAACCCCAAAATTCAGCAACACACACACACAAATCACACAGTCTTGTGCTGATTGGTTTACCGGTTCAGTGTGTTCTCATTAGAGTTTCCTTAATATAGGAGTTGTGTATGGGTATATAACTATAGCAATTAATTTCATCACCACCCCTTTATTTCTTTAAGCACACTAAGTTATCAAATCAAACTACTGTACAATACATCATCACATTACAGTACATTTAGGTTCTTAGATATATTGGCCAAGGAGTTAAAATTACATTCCTAATGAAAATAATAATTAAAAAAAAACAGACTTATCTGGTATTTATTATTATTATTATTATTAATTAAAGTGAAAAAATTGATAAAGTTTAATGATGACAGAATGCAAAGATGATTCAGATCTGCCTGTGGACAAATGTACATATTGATTGGCTGTTAGGATCTTTAGTGTTCACTGTACCTATCATGCCCACTAAACTAGTAATTGTTTATTGTTTTTACCTGTTCTGAATGTTCCAGGAAGACTCTTTCCAGATCTTGCTGACCACTGACCGGGACCAATGTGTAATGGACGCTATCACACTGGAATAACGATAAAAGAATCTTGCAGGCGCATAGAGCATCCACATCAAATGCTACCATCACCAGCACATGCTATATTCACAAACAAAAAAATACAATATTGATTAACTAATTTTTGATTAACTAATTAAAAATTATGCTTTCTATCAATTTATTTCTTTTTTTAATGTATTGATATATTCCATTTTCTTATGTTACAATACCACAGGTTGTTGCATTGCTCATATAGATGCAAAGAGGTAATTTAATGTTTCTTAATAATCTATAGTTTCATTTCATTTCTTTCTTTAGGCAAGAGCGCCAAGGGTATGCTAATCAGCGAACTAAATCACTATCCTACGTAGACTTGCCACAAGTCTCTAATTTGTGGATTTTTCGTAGTATTAGCGCATTTCGGAAAGCGCCACCAACGTCAGATTATGTTGAGAAACTTTTTTGATGAGAATTAATCCCAGAAAAAGTATACTATGGAACGCCATGCAAATAAGTAATATGGAACGCCATTTGTGCCAAAATCGATTTATTCTTAAGCATTTCAACTGATTAAGACAAAGATTAGGGACTGGAACCCAGTCTATATCCTACGTGGCATATCCATTAAACAACAGTGGACAGAATGGACCAGTACACTGGGGTAACCCCCTACTCTTCTCGAAGGATGTACTGGTCCTACGGTTTAAAGTCCTTTATCCAAGAAGATTTGTTCCACCATCGGAACCATAGGCGAGTGAGCCATTCGAACCAGCGCCGATATTAGAGCTGAAGGTTATGGTGCCCCTGACTTACTGTAACGGCTCGGCCAATCAACTTGCCTGTATAGTGCTTTAACATTAGTTATAAAATACTGTGTATTGTTTGCACACTGTACTGTGTTAAATATAAATTACTGCAGTTCTGACAAAACATAAGCTGTTTTGTTTTACGAAATTTCTCAAGTCTTCCAGATTTGTTTTTAAACTTTATATTTGATTTGATTTATTTGAAAAATGAAAAACAACAATAACAAATATATATCCTAACCTGTAATACTGTATGAGATACATGTATTATTATTTAAGCTAATTTTCTTTAATATTTCAAATATTTTTTAGCTTTGTTTTTAAGGTAGGCCCTAGAATAATTAATGTATGGCCAAAACGATCTAAAGTTTATGGGAACATCATTCATTGATATTTACAAAGTGTAACAGCCTGTAACTCAAACATTCTTATCGTTAATGTTATTAAATATTTCAATAATTCAGACAAAGCTTAGTTCCAACAGTAGATCAGGACACCTTTATTGGTGGCACTTTTTTGGGCCTGAAGGTATCCCTCTAACAGGGGTTCTACTGTATTTCAAATAAATATACAAACACATTACCTTATGTAGTACTACATCATAAAACTCTTTGCGAAGATCTGAGATAAGCATGGTTTTTAGATTGCTTGACTTGAAGTAGATTTCTGTTTAGCTGTTATCGATCAATGCTGTAATACATTTCCTGTACTAATATTAAAGTAACAATTCAGTTAGTTGATCATCCCACTCCCATCAATAACTAGGCCTTAAGCAGAATCGTTTGTGGCATAGACAAACCAAACCAGTCACTTGTCACAAAAATTGATTTTTAGCTATTACGTACAGGGTTAAACAGTAAATTGAGGGCTATAAAATGGTAAAGGAATCATTTAAATCCGACATTTCATTAAAAGTTAGGAGTTTAAATAATAATACAGCTGTTTACAGAACAATATTTGAGAAATCAGCTGGCAAAGTTTATTATTTCCTGAATTTTTCAGGCAGAAACTATCACCAAATTGTTAAAAATTGTTGTCTTAATATAAAGGTTAGTTTAGTGTCATAAATAAAATATATGTTGACATTCCAACATGTTTTGACCATTACAGTATCTCTGAAACAGGATTTGCGACGAGTGACTGGTTTGGCTTGTCTTTGCACGTAATACAGTAATTGCTGCATTTCGCATTTGTGGTTAGGCCTATATTATTAACATTTAGTCAAAGGCCTAAATTTCGGCAAAAATTTCTCCTTCGGACCTTGCTTGGTCAAGGCAAGGAGTTGTGTCAAGGAGTGATTGATTCAGCAGAGCCACAACACCAGCAGTGACAGCCAACCACAGCATAGTTACCAACTGCCTCGCATCGTGCGGGATGGTCCCGCATTTTAAAGTGATTTTGGATGAAACACGCATTTTGCAGAAACACATTTAGCACAAGTCTATGTGTGATAATGAATTATCATGAATTCCTTGGCAAAAGCAGTTAAAATTAAAAGAAATTTGTTTTATAACGATATAAAAATGGTCATTGAGTAACTTGAGTCATTATAAATATAGAGAACTTTTGGTGTCTCATTCAAGAATCAATTCACCGACAAAATTTCTCTTTCTCGACCAAAACAACCTAGGCAACGAAGCACTTAGTAGAATCTAGGAAGTGTGTGCGGTCTTGCGAGTTCTTTGCCACAATCAACTGTTAGGCCTAATAACTATTATGTGACTGAAACTCGGACATCACACACCGGTCCGGAGCTTCGACCCTGGACCCGGCGGTGGTCCTGGTGACCCACTTTCAAAATTGGGCCCCACCGTCTGGAAATGGGCCCGATCGTCTGTAATTCAGTTGAATACAAGCTAGGCCTAGGCATAGCTAGGCTAGGGCGATAGGCTAGGGAGCCTAGGCACCTACTAGGCTAGGCGCCTAGGCCTAGCTACCGAAGAATATTTTTCTAAAGGTATGGATAGTACGTTATATTTTAAGCCTTATTCATCTAACATTATCAACTAATATATAATAAACAATTGTTTAATCTTCAAAAAAACTTCAAAATCTGTACCTTTCAATACGAAATTATTGCATTTTTATTGACATTCGCTCACCGAGTTTCGCGGGAATTTTTGTAATTATTTTGATATGGACTAGAAGAAAGATGTTGATTGGTTAAAACCAATCTGTCTGTTAGTTTGATGCATTTACTCAACAGTATTGAGGGCGTTAATATTTGTTGACATGGTTTTTCTTGATTTTCGACAGTTATTCTACAAGTAATTACATTTTTATTTATAAACTCTAATCAACCAAACCACTGTCACAATGGTAATCGGTAATTATGTATAGGTTATGTCTACAATTCTAGTCAACTACGTTGCCAAATTAATGATTGCCAGAGTGTGAGTAATGTAGGCGGGATTCATGTAGGCCACATTATGCTGATTCATTATTTATTGTTAATGTCGGACGGGGCCTTCACTCCTTTGAGTGAGAAAAGGCCTCTCTAGCCTAGTACTGTCCTAGGCCCAGCCTTAATTGACTTGATTACGGTCTGCATATGCATTTAGTTGATAAGCAATGTAAGAAACATAGAATGTAAGAAAACTAGCTTTATTTATTCCATCTATTAACTCCACCAAGTGTAAAAAATTAGTAATCTTATACGGTATTATTATTATTTTCGAGTTTAAATGTAATGATTGTTCGTTAATTAATAGTGAAAGCAAGCCTCCACTGTATCTAGGCCTTAGTATAAAAGGCTGATACATGGTGTGGGCCTAAACAAATCATTGCAAATGTTGATTAATTATTTAGGTTTGTTTACATATTTTTTGTTACATGCACAAGAATTTAACAATACAAAATTGTTCTTTCAGATTGAGTCATAGTCGTACTGTACATATAATCTCAAATGAGGAAAAATAAGCAATAAATATAAATACATTTTCCACCACAGATAGAAGTTGCCTGTGCTTATAGGCTACATTTTGAAAAACTCAGCATATCACAATGGTAATACAATTTTAGTGAATCTACTTTTTAAGTTTTAGGTGGAACCGGTTGTTTATGTTCTGTATAAATGGATACATTATTGCAAAATTGAATTCTAGTTACCTGTATATTAAAGTTAGTCACCATTCAGAATGGAATGTGTCAATATCTTTTGTCTTCAAAGTTTTGATTTCAGTAAATGCAGAACTTTGAGCCAACAGTGTGTCCAGTGGCGAATTCAAGGGGGTGGGGGCGAGCTGACCCTTCCTCCACCCCCTAAATTTTTTAAAAATTATAAAATGGAGAAAGGGGGAAAATTTTAATCAAATTTAAGTCCAAGAGTGCAATTTACAGCCATCTAGAGGTGCCATAATCAAAACTTCTTTACCTCACCTCCAACCATGGTGGGGCTGAGGTGGTGTAGACTCTCTATCTTTTTAATGTCTCCCTGTTCTCCCTCTATTTTGAATTCCTGGATCCTCCGCTGGTGTCATACATATAAGTTATGTGTTGTAAGTAATAACCTTAAAATGTCCATGAAGGTGGTTGTTTTATTAAATCATGTATCTTTCAAGTGGTGAATGTTTTGCTAATCACAGTGTTTTCTGATTTTTTAGTTTAGTTTTCAAATGTTTGATAATGTTCAGAGGACATACAAATCACAGTACCGCTGCTTTTCAGTTTCTATGTTACACGGAAACTGCCGTCAGGATGTTGAAAGAGGAGGAAAAAGTAAGAAATTCTATACATCACATGCATTGAAATATCCAAAGTTTCAATCAACTGACCAATCATGAACATGATATTCAATAGGTGGACCAGAAACGTCACACAATCACACAAGTTTACAAGATATTTCTCTATAAATGGCTTTGGCGTTTTATGGGACGACAACAGTGCGTATTTTAGTTCACAACTAACACAGTCTACTTTTATTGCGTTAGTTTGTTTTGTAAGAGATGAAATGTTAGTAATAACAAAACTCCAAAGAAAATGGAATTAGTCAAGTTTTACATGCATTTTAGATTGTCCAGAAGTTAGGAGTAGCTAAGCTCAATTTTTAATTTTTTGAAGAACTCTTTTGCCTGCAATTTTACAGCAGTGGCTTGTGTTCAGTATCACTACCCAGTGATAATTCATTTCATTTATTTATTCGACCAACATTTAAAAAAATGACAATAAATACAGTATGCGAGAAAAACAAAAATTGAAATAATTATCAATAATAATAATAATAATAATAGTAATAATAAATAGTGATAATAATTAACTATTAATTTATAATATATTTTTTTCTTTTCGTAGTTATTATGCCACCTTCTGCTTTGGATGCCTTGAGTAAGTACTGAAAGTTGTTCTTCCAAAGCTCTGACCTTGTTGTCAAGTTTTATGTCATAAAAGAAAAAGATGTAATTAAAGGAAGATGGGAAGGGAAGACAGGAACTTAGACGGAAGAGAAGAAGGGGTAGAAGAAGACAGTGATTGGATGATTTAGAATTGGGTGGCCTTGCTGCAGTAGACAGAAAGGCACAATATATCACTGAATAGACGAAACTATGAACAACTAACTCATACAAGGACCTGCTGCATTAAGCAGAATACTGATGATGATGATGATGATGCTGCTGTCATAAATACCCGTGGCATGCTCATGATAATTATATGAGTGTGATATGTCATCATCATGCCCATATATGGCCAAAAATCACAAATATTTATCACAGAAAATTGTATAGATTAGACAGAGTATTTGTGAAATATTTCTGTTAAAATTTTATTTTACCAATATAGCAGAAGATCTTCTTTGGGACACCCTATAATAGGGACACATCCCTATTAAGGGGACACTTTTTCGGCCATGAAACAAAGGAAAGTGTATCTTTTAACGCTATGACCAACCCCTATCCAGGGGACACCCCTATTAAGGGGATACTTCTTTGGTCCTGATGGTGTCCATTTAATAGGGGTTGCATTCTATTTCATTCATTCCTTTCACTACAAATTCATGTTTTTTTATTTTATTATCAACAGCTCGCATGAACATCATGTACCCGATGTTATTCAAATTGACAAATCGAAAAGAGACACGTGAAACACATTGTGGTGTCTTAGAATTTGTTGCTGACGAAGGAAAAGTCTATTTACCTTACTGGGTAGGTACTTAGCATATTGTTTTCTGTTATTGATTAATCTGTATTATTTTATTTACTTTCTATTGTAATATATAAGGATCAGTGTTTAAAATTTCTAAAAGCACATCGAAGAGTAACCTTCATATTGAGGTGTTATAAGGATTCAATAAGAAGATAAACTTTACTGCTCCAAAAAAGCAAATTCAGTACTTGCATTAAGATATAATTGACAGTAAAAATATTAAAACAGTGATCAGATGCAGTAAAATACAATAATTATAAGATGGAAGCGACAGCCACCAAAGCACAGAAATATACTAATCAAACAAATTTTACGACATCATTTGATCGCAAGCTTATGAACATGCTAATTAGCCACACCCACAAAATACAAACAAAAGTCCTCATTGGTTTATATTTTCTCTAGCAGCTTGATTGTACATACTAGCCACAATTACAGAAAACATTGTAGCATACTCATTGGTTAAATCATTAAATTGAAGAAATAATTCAAAGTCCTGTAAGTGGCAAGTGGATGATAATGAAATATAGTAAAATAACTCTAAAAAGAAATAATAACATATATTTATTTTAATTGTCAGATGATGCAAAACCTACTGCTTCAAGAAGGGGACCTTCTTCAGCTGGAGAGCACTTCGTTGCAAGTGGCAACTTTTTCTAAATTTCAACCTCAATCTGTTGACTTTTTAGATATTTCAAATCCCAAGGCTGTGTATCCTTTGACAGTGGACCATTCCGCTAAGCTGCGCCCCTTGGATATTGTTGCTAAGGTCCCACAACAATGTATATTCCTGGCCCTGTTCTGATTGGTCAGTTAAGTTTGAATAGCAATAGAAGTAATTTAAAACAGGCAAAATTAGGAGGGTATAGATAGCTTTCTTCACTGGTGTTTCAACCCTGAACTCTTCTTACCTTTTAGAAATGGCTATCTATTTATTTATTCGTGAATGGTTTCTAGTTCATTACCTCCGCCAAGAAGGTAATGTATTCACTACTGTCTGTCTTTCTGTCTGTCTGTTAACAACATTATGCAAAAACCAATAAATGGATCATTATATATAAAATTTAGTAGAATGGTACATAATAATCAAAGAAAGACACAATGCAATTTTTGAAGAAAAAGTAAAAAGACAAGGTCATCATCACGGAAATTCAATTTTTTACTCTCTAGTATAAACGAAAATAATTGAATCGCCCACGTAAGGCACCACTTAAGAAAACAGTGTGCCTGAATACAACGTCCAATTCCATTATTTTCTTGAGGGTATCTTGCAGCACTCAAGAAAATTATGTGTCTGAATACAAACAAGTGGCGACTTCATTGAGGGTATGCTTTGGTGTCACCTATTATTCACGGCCTGCATATTGTTGGTAATGTATTTAGGCACAGGGTGGAGGTATGAACTCTATCGAGTGACTGCTCTAGTTTCATGACATACTCTTAGCAATCTTTATAGAAAAGATGGTGTAAGATCACGATGGTTGTTTCGTTCTGTTAGGTTTTTTTCCTTAAACCATCTACAGATTGGAGAATATTTTAAGAGGTTTTGCTTGCCTTACAAGAGGAGATATGATTGCTATTAAGTACAATGATAAGATATATGAACTGAAAGTATTAGAAACAAAGCCTGCAGATGCAGTGTCTATCATTGAATGTGACATGAGCGTAAGCAGCTTTTCTTAAGCTCTGTCTGCACTATGTTGTATGCCCATATATAGTAATGATGTGCCCTTATATAGTCATGATATGCCTGTATATAATCATGATGTAATGTCATCATGACTATATTTAGGCATGTCACATGATTTTGTCAAATGAAATTTGATAGACAGGGCTTATTCTATAGTCCACCTATAGCCTTCAGCCTTGGTTAATAGGGAGCTATCGATTGCACAACATGGTAGGGTTTAGAACGTAATGACGTCATTAAGGAATCATCTACGCATGCGAGAACAACAAGTCTCATCGCATTGATTCTAGGATGCAATTTGATAAAATCTATTTTGTGCAGAAAATGTAGGACAGTCACACATGAGTGAATCTGTTCTAATGTGTCACATTCTTACACAAATCGAAAGTTCCCTATATTTTCTTGACCTGGCATTGTATTACAGAATTGGTTAAAAACACATCTTTTTTTTTGCAAACTGTTGAACGTAGATTTTTTTAAATACATTAGGTTAAACTGTAGGATTTCTGAATTTGTTTTTAGAGTGTTAACGGTGTAAGCTTGTTATTTTTGCCAAAACAGAAATTTTAATATGTTGCATGTATGTTTGCAGGTGGATTTTACAGCACCAGTAGGCTATGTTGAGCCACAGAGAATCAAGCCCCAAGAGCCAGAACCTGAGGTTAGCAAGAATACTAAAATAATAATCATCTACCAGTTTTAAGCCTTGTCCACTTTTTAAACTTAAATTTTCTTTGACAAAACATTGTTATATGCCCATATATAGTCATGATGTGCCTATATATGGTCATGATGTGATGTCATCATGACCATATTTAGGCATGTCACATGTTTTTGTCTAATAAAATTTGATAGTCTGGACAGGACTTTAGCTGGCTCCTTAAGATGCTTGCCTTAAAATACCAGAATCCTTGGTTCAAATCCTAAAACTAAAAGATTTGTTTTCCAAAAACTGAAAGGTCCACTGATTAATCTTAGATAAGAAAGTATAATACATACTCCAAGTATTGAAATGCACGCCATTATAATGAACAAATAAATAAATCACTAAAACAATAAAAAAAAAAAAAGAAAAAGAGGCCACAAGCATAAAAAAAAACTTAACAAATATTGTGAAGAACGTTTTTACTTTATTGCAGAGTATGCAAGTGGATGAAACAGACTACATTGATGAGAGCAAGTTCATGGCATTTCAAGGTTCTGGGAACCGTCTGGATGGCAAGAATAAGAATCTAGACTCCAAACCAGTCCCCTTACAGCCACACATATACAAACGGTATAGTACTGTGCACTCAGTCAATTTTTTTGGCAATTACCATACCACATACTATTACTAGGAGATGTTCATACATTTATATACAGTACTATTGTTTATTATTAGTTATTATTTAAAGGCAGGCTCCTGAGGAATAACATGTTGAACTGTTTTTTCTAAGACACAAGAAATGTGTTCAATTTTTTTTTAATCTGGAGCCTGGCTTTATATTTATCTAATTGTTATCTGAAATCAGAAAATATTCCTTGTTCTAATTTGTACTTTTATTTCAGCTGATTATTAGTGTTCACTATAAATGGAAATTTATGAAAGAATATATGTTCGTACTCTTGTTTTTATATTGAATTTAAAGAGGGTTGTTAATAGGCATTTATAGGATGCTAGCAACATGTTTTCATAATCCTTTTATTCACTAAAACATGTATGTCTTCACAGTGGAATTCCAAACTACGACTACAGACAAGGAACGATTACATTTATAAGAACAGTAAAACCAACAGCTAATCCAGATCAGTCCGAGGTAAGACATAGGGGGTGTTGGCAGTAGAAATAACAGCTTGAGCTATTCAAAATGACATAACAACCATTGATTATATTTATATTATTGTTTTACTAAGCCTAGATCTGTATTGAGTTCCTCGATGTTTAAATTAATATTGAGGATCCAGCAGAATATCTTATGAAACATTTTTTTTTGTGTGTCCAAATGAGCTGAAGTGATCGCTCAATCGAAACACTCTAATCTCTTATGGAATTTTTGTGATTATTCAATCAGATCTAACCTAATATTATTCTCCTGGTGGTGATTAAAGTAACTTAATAAAATCATCAAGACACAAAACAGCAGTTCTTTTCCAAACTGTCTACTTGGTGTACTTCTTATCGAATCTCTGCACATTACTGAATTTTGCCCAGCCACAGCTGGACACACTTCTTTGAATTGTGGTTGTATATGCATGATTTTCAATGTTGCTATATTACTGGTTGTATGTGGTGGTGGTGTAGAAACAGGGCCGCGGCAGGAACGCTTCTACTATGACCCCAAATTAGTCTTAAAATAAGTTTGGTACTCATTTTCCCTATATAATTACTCATCTTATAATTATTATAATTGGTCATGGCAAAGAAAGTAAACTAATGTTAGAGACAATGTCACATGACAATGTACTTCTTTACTCGAGAGAGGGCGCTATTATAATATTAATGTAGATTAGGCACTACATCAATCATCAATCAAATTTAACAATCTGACTAACCAGAATGTGTTATACAATAGGCCAGGCAAGGCAATGTGTAGTAACAATCTGTATTTATAACGAATGCATCTGCACAATGTCATTCTTGTTGGACCCTAGCAACAATATTAAAGCAGTTCCCTAATTCAAGGTGCTTATCAAAATGCCTATAATACTTTATAATATCAAGTATTTTTGATAGAACAATTTTTGTTTAAAGAAGGGTTTTGATAAATATTCAAATAGATGAATTATGTGCTGTGTGTTTTGTTTACCAAGTTTCTGCAAAATATGTGTATTTTTTTATATACTTAGTGTATTTATTTGTTTCTTTTTTCAGGACCAGCTTGAAAGTTTTGAAGCATTTACTGGCGAAGGAAATAGACTGAGGAAAAAAACTGCAAGAGTTAAATGAATTATGAAAAAGGAACTTTCACTGATAAAACAAAATTGAAAATATAATGCAAATTATATTATGAGAATGTTGTATATTCCTTTATATAAATTTTCATAAACAAGAATAAGATATTAATTTCAGGTGGCATCAATTTTTATTTATTTCAAATCAAAACCAACAGCGAAAAATAAGTGCCACTTACAAGACACAGATAAGATAAGAAACAGATAAGATAAGATATATATAAACGACGACAAAGATATCAAGAAAAAGGAAAATTTGTTAAAAAATTATTGCACATGCATTTGTCAGAAGAAAATATAAAAAGCACAAAAGAAAAATTCACAATAGAAAAATTCAACAAATGTTAAGGATGTGCCATCTGTGTTGAGTTTGGCAGCAGCTCCAAAAATTTCCCGACGATTGGGTCGAATGCGTGTTCGTGGCGAAGTCCAAGGTCCCTGACACAGTATCCACACCCACCTTTTAAAGTTCGATACTTTCAATTAATATATAGAACAAGAATGTATCTCGTAGCTAATCAGCAGACACAGAATAATACCCTAAATTTGCTGGTAGCAAGTAATGAATTTTGGTAGTAAAATTCTGTAAATAATCAAATCTGAAATGCCTCGATTTAGATTTGTGTTTCTTATGTGGGAAACACAACACAGATAAAACACGAAAGTCTGAACATTATTTCCAGTGGAAACGTCATTCTGCTGGTGAATTACCAAGAGACAATTTATGCTCTTTTGCAATAGTGGTGCGTTCTGTAACGTTCACATGGGCCATCTTGCACACAAGACCAACAGACGGGTTAAACGTTTCCGAAAACCATTATTCTAGTAAGTTGAATATCAGCCCTCCGCTAACAAGAGCGACCGCTCACCAGGCCGCATGTTCCTCAACACTTAAATATGGTAACATGCGCAAGCTATGATATTGGGTTTTTTGAATGAGCAATTAAAAATGTTTAAACAATTAGAATGTTAATGTATATCAAAACAAATATTATTTAGAATGTTCATTTGTACAGAATTAGAATGTCTTAAAATTGAAAAAAAAAAGATTAATACCAAGACGGGATTCAAATTCACGACCTTTGGTTCAACCGCGCCATCCATGCAATGCGCCTTACTAGTGGTAATGTACAGTCCTTGCTGAAAACCCCTGTTTAGTTACGTAGGTGTAGGGGAACACTTGGTGGGTCTAACTTTAAAAAGGGCGATGAACGTTTGTTGGAAATCGCCTCTAGTTTCTGTGTACAAAATTTACTGCTCAACTGTTCAAAACTGGTGACACTGGACGCTTTTAAAAGTTCTAGTAACAACAACAAGAAGAACAGCAGTGAGGTTCTGGGGTCAGCGCGTTGTGCGGACCCAAAAACGAAGAGCATAGCAATGGAATTGAACCAGGGACTAGTGATCTGAAATGTTCTATATCACGGGTGGGCGTAAAAATCGGACGGAAGTCCAAAGTGATTTTTTTTTTATTTAACACTGAGGGCCAGACCCAAACTTTGATGTTTCCAGTGAGCTTCAAAAAGCCTCCAAGCACTGCTTTTACATCACTTATTCTCTCAGTTTTAATGTTAAAATAAGAGTTCTTGTCAAAGAAAATTTGATATCTGGACACAGCTTACAGTCCCTGTCCAGGTTATCAAATTGTATTGGAAAAAAAAATATGTGAAATGTCTGAGTATGGTCATGATGTAGAAGCGATTGGCGCATTGGTCGTTGCTTGTACTTCCAACTTTGAGGTCAGGGGTTTGAAACTCTCGCTGTGCAAGTTGCTTGTGTCCTTGGGCAATTACCTACGGTTGTCTCTTCACCCAGGAGTACAAGTGGGTACCTGGTTGGTTTAAACGCAACCATGCGCTCATTACAATGCCATAATGTTGAAACTTTACAGTTCGATAGTGTGGACGCAGTTTTAGAGTGGTTATCTTTCCTCATTACAGTATATCAGTGATTTACTCACCATGTAGCAGTGGGTGTGAACATATCTTTGAATTGTATTTGAAACATTAAACTTTAAATATTTCTTCGTGACATGTTTACACTATTTTGTGAGATTCGTGCAATGCATGCCTGTTACAGTTTCTATTTTATAGGCCTATTTAGGTTTCATTATTTAGCTTACGTTGAATATAGAAAATAAAGCATAACAAACAATTAGGTACGACGTGCGTTAAAGGTATTTATTTCTTTAAAGTGGCTGTGGTTACGCCGAGATGTAGTGCATCAAGATAGAGAGAGTTATTTTTAAGGTTAGGGTAAAGCCAGGTCGACCAATCGGCGCTTTGGAATCACTTCAATGTAAGCATAGTCATGGTCTTATTGCCTTTTAATCTATATATATTACATATATACAGTATAACTTGTATATATATATATATATATATATATATATATATATATATAGTATATGTAAGTTTTAATTTGCTACTTTAAAGAATGCCATCATTGAATATATGTAATGGTTCGTGACTTTTTATGTTGTTATATATACAGTATATTCTTTTTTTATGTGTCGGTAATGATGTTCTTGTTTAACAGAGTGTGATTGTAGCACGTTAAGATAGTATGCTGTCACAAGCCCGTAGCCAGGGGATTCGAAGGGTTCGAAAGAATCCTCCTTTTTCAGAAATTCCCTTTTAAATTATTACTATAAAGTACCATACCATGTGTTGTTGAAATTAAGTCCAAATATTTGCAATTTGGCATTTTTATTGCCATCGATCTTCAGACGTGTCAGTTTTATATCTTTAAAATTACTCCAGCCACTCTCTGCCCCCACAATTACTTATCTCTGATTCTGAATATTCGAATCCAATCTTAAATTCTTTCCCTTAAAAAGCTCAACTTCTTTCTAACTTCTTCCAGTGCCAGTGACAAGCTAGTTTGTGTAGTATTAAATTATTATTATTATTATTATTAAGATAAATTTAAGAGGTATTTCTTTTTTATTTCGAATTGTGTTTTCGTGGAATGGCCTTCCTAATAATGTAGTATCAGCCGGGAGTTTAAATTTGTTTAAGAGTAGGCTTGATGAGGCCTGGTTTGACTACCCACTGAAGTTCACACCGTTTGAAAAGCATGACATGATTATCCAAATAAGGGCTTATAAGAATATTTTGCTTCTTTTTGCCTCGATTTCCCTGGAAGTCGATAGCATTTGCTGAAGAAGACTTCGAGAGATAGAAGTAAAATGATTTTGTTACCTAAAATGGCATCAGCCTATCAATTTACAAAATAATTATAAAGACAAAGCACGATTACGTAAATCATTAATTAACACTGTCTTAAAATGGCATCGGCCTATCAATTTACAAAATTATTATAAAGACAAAGCTTATGCTGTTGTTCACCCACTTAAATTATTTTTATTTAAGTTAAGAAAACACCTACTTGATAATACATAAGTTTTGTATAAATTTCAACTCCCTAATTCTGTGCAATTTCATTTTAATTATATTTCACTTCCATAAAACCCATCCCTTTTCCATTGTGTATATTTTTTTTTTTTTTTTTTTTTTAATTTTTAATTTTAATTTTAATTTTTTTTTTTTTTTAATCTTGCATTTTATTTACATCCATTTTACTGGACCTTTCAATTTATTGGTTATTGAATTGGGTTTTTTTTTTTATTGAAATTGTGTACCTGAATTTTAACTATGTAATCTGTTGTTTGTACAGGGGTTGCAGACACATTCGTGTTATGGCGCATTGTTGATTGTTGATACATTGTACCCCTGGACCGTTTGATGTCAAATATATAAATAAAAATAAATGAAAAAATGAAAGCATGATAAGTAAATCATTAATTAATAATTAAAATCTTAAAGCAGAGAGCATGCATGAGGATAGCCTTGCTTTTCATTAATAAAACACTGCCTAAAATATTTATTTATTATTTACCAAATTTATATAGTGCCCTTTTCATTACCGTACTCATGCGAATAAGCGCCCTGGCGCTTAAAATATATTTTTTTTTAGACTTTTTGAGGGGCGCTTATTCAAACGGGGCGCTTATTTAATGAAAACAAAGTGGAAATTGAGGGGCTGCTTAGTGGAAATAGATGAAAATCGAGGGGTTCTTATGGAAACTTATTACATTCAAGAGGCACTTTTTGAATGAAAAAAGATTATTTAGGACATTACGAATGGTGGTGCAGCAAGATCCAGAGAAACATGGCTCATGGCTAGAAAATGCTGTCAATATTTACATAGAAGCAGAAGCATGCAATTAGTGTTGGTGTGTAGTGGTTAGCTTGTATACCATCGGCCGATTGAGATTAGCATGATGGCAGGATCATTGCAGGTTTTCTTGTAAACCCAGATGAGAATTCTAAAGGTGCAAAATTGTCGGAAAATGAGTAGAACTAGGCCTAGACAAATGTAAAGAGGAAAGTTGGAAGTACTGTCTGTCATTGGGGTCATCATCGGAGCTCCCATCTGTCCAAGAGAAATACCCTCATTTTTATATAGACCTAAGAAGAATGTGATTGCACTTTGCAGCTCAAATCATGCCAACCCGCAGTCCCATGATTGATTGGATTATTCACCTGCTAAAGAAAATCTTATGAGGGGCTTATTCGAGAGGGACGTTAAACGGGGCGCTTATTCACGCGAGTACGGTATGTTCAAAGACGCTTTACATAAGGATACAAAAATACAATACAAAAATAAAAATTTAGAAAAATACTGGTATTACATTAATTACTGTATACATAAATAATTAGATTTTATTGATTAAATAAAAGCACAAATAATAATAAAAAATGTTATAAAACCTTAAACTTATCAAAATATTAACAATCAAAAACATCTCAAATTCATGGATTGATTACAATAATAGTTTATGAAATAATACAGTAAAAAAATAATTTAGTAAAATATATGGCTCCTCTATAGAATACTATATACAAATTGACAATTGCAAAATTCATAATTAATATGAGACAAAATTATAAAAATAAGTTATAAAACCTACATTAATATACAAAAAAAATTACCAATCAAAATATAAAAAATTCAAGTGACTACAAAACAAGGGGATATTACAAAAATGTCATTCGTGTGTAAAGTAAAGTGTTGGTCCACAATTTTGATTCCTGCATGAAATTAACATAAAACTACTGACATGCATTTTTTTTTTAATATAAGGAATTCCATTTATTGAATTCTGCTATATATTGCAGACACTTCCAATATAGCAATGATATAATTCTTTGAATTGTATTTCTACAATGGAAGTCTATGAAATAATGAACCAGTTTATTTTGTTTCATTAAACGAAAAAAGCCTCTAACTCATGATAGAGGGCGCCTATTCGGCTTTTTGCGGGAAATTACAAAAATATAAATAACAAAATATAAGTCTGTCATTGATGTCGGGAATCTTCGTTCGTTCATCAATAATTTACCTATTTTTAAATATCTTCTTAACATATAAATATTTAAACATTGAAACGAAATTGATTAGTGCTGAGCAGGTGAGAAATACATTCTTAACTCCTTACTCTAGCTGGGGCTTAGGCTAGGCCTACACCACTCACTGTCGCTGTCAGTTACGACGGGTAGGCCTATAGCCTGGTCTGTAGGTGTAGGCAGGGAGTTGTTATAGTGGTGTAGGCAAGCCTAGATCCTGCGGTCTTGTCACATTTTGCTAGCATAAGCCTGACATGTGTACTGCAGCGTCAAAAAGGCGGTTTTAATAATGGATAGTTTTATTATGTTTTCTTCTGGAATTTTTTGGTATCTTTTTGGATGTTAGGCCTATGTGTTTAGCTGGATTTTTCAAACTATTGTTTAAACAAATCAGATAACAATATTTGACTTTCAACTAGTAAAATTTGTATATAAGGTCCCATAAAAAAATTTATTAGTTTATCACCCACTCCCTCATCACTTTTGGGAAAAATCAGATTTTTTTTTTTTTTTTCTTTCAATCAACATATATTTTTATTTCAAATGGTCCTTTTTCCATCTTTTTTCACTTGAAAAGCTCAGAGTTTCTTGCAAATATGCTTACTGGTACAACAAAAACATATTTTTTTAAATATAAATTTGATTCCATTCTTATGACTTTTTATATATGTGTCCCTAACCATTGATTTACTTGTGATCATCGGTAAAATTGGGGCGGGATTAGCAAAAAAAACCTCCCTCCCTCATCAGTTTTTATTCTTTGATAGGGTGATAAACTAATTATTTTTTTTATGGGGCCTAAAGAATATTTTTACTGATGTTGAATGAATTTTTGATATTTATAAATTAAATTTATTATTTCAGGATGAGGAGGTCAGGAGCTCCATCACGTCTTGGAGTGAAGCGCCCTCGCTTTACTCCACCCTTTGCTAATCGTGAGGCTGTATCAGTACACTCGCCTGCTGCAGACATGCCGATGACACCAGCTAATAATAATATGCAAGGACAATTTTCCAGGAAGTTCGCTCCTCCATCTTGTAACAAAGTTGCCATGATTGTGCATGACGAACGTAATAGGATCGAACCTAACCTACTACTTTCTGAACACACTGTTACCAGTTGTTTCTCACCCAATGATAGAGTAGAAGACAGTGAACTAAAAAGTTGCCTGAAAAGTATTGAAAATCAGTTGGGTGCCGATTCTCAAGCCAAAACTGCTAGTCTCATCCGTGACGCAGAAAAGAAAGTTGAAAACATTGCATGCATCAGCCCACATGTAGATAAACATGTTGAATCTGTCAGAACTGAAAGGAATGTGCCATTATTGAATGAAATGAAAGTAACCACTGCCAACAAAAATCCTGGTGCTAACCTTGCAGAAAATATAGTTTGTGAACAATTTAAAGATGATAATACCGACAATAAACGACTTGAAAAACATACAGAAATGAAAGTGAAGTTTGTACCACCAACGAATCAACAGAAGACATTACAGCAGACAAATACCGAGGAAGATGAACCAGGGAGCAATTACTATTCTGTACTTTGGTTAGTTGTCAGCAATCCATTGACAGTGGCGAAACGATTAGTGACAGGGTCCGGGTTGAGAAAGTGCTGGGGGCCCCATGAATTTTAGTAATCGATATATGATGAGAAGATAGTATAAATCATACTCCAAGTATCGAAATGCACACCATCTTGTCAGGATTCAATATTTCGATATTAATTTTGTCGTATTAATTATTTGAAATTTCCTTAACATGATTTTCTTAAGATTAGTAGATATCAATTTCTTATTGTAAACCCTATCAAGAATTACAGTATATTAATTACCTTTTTAAGGGTAACAATGGCTTGCATTTTGATACTTGGAGTCTGTATACTATCTTATCTGAGATATGATGAGTGTCACAAAATTGGTAGCAATACTAACTGCAGCCTGTAATATTGTTATTACATGTACTATAATTGGATTTGAATTCTCTATTAAAAGCCCCTTTAATTTTGGGTCGGGAATTGATTTAGGCCTATAAAAGAAGTGTTGTCATGGGAGTCACATCAACATACATTATGAAATTTAAACCAGGAGTTGCCTTGCTTTCATTTGCTAGTTTTTGGTGTCTTCTACTGGATTGTAATGTAGAATGGACCCCAACAGGGCCACTTTGTACTGGGGGGGCCCAGGGATTTGTCCACGAGACCCCATAGGCGTTGCGTCACTGATCACTGATCCATTAATTTGAAATTGGTTCATTGTAAATGTTCGATTATGATTTCATTTTTTTTTTATTCATTCTCACTCTGTATTTAACCATCAAGCTACAAATCCAAGCAATATCATTGAATAAATTATTTTATACATTTTTGTATAGGTGTAAAATGTCAAAGAAAAAACACAAGAAATGGGAAGGTGATGGTAAGTGTTTTTTATGCATTTCTAATTAATTAATCTGTTATCGATTTATTATTAGTTAATTTTTAAAATTTATATCTTTATACTTTTTGTTTTGTTTTATTGAGAAATAACAATCTTGAGATTGTGTAGTAATTTATCGGTATTCAGCATGTTTTTATTATGCATTTATAGCTGTGTTAGTGGCCCGAGGGAAGTCTGTAAGGCTAATTGATCTTGACGGCAAAGAGTAAGTTTAAATTTTACTTATCTTTAATTACATTATTCTATTTTTGATATTATTTACATTTTTTAATTACGCTCTCATCTTATTTTATTTATGAAAAGTTGGTACAGTATACAATAGGCTGTCTGTAGAGGCCAGGTAGCCACATAGCCTTCATGACCCTTAACTAAACCTAATAGCAAAAAAAAAAGTAAAATGCATAAAAGATGGTAAAGAGTTTAATTTTTTAAAGTATTCAATTAACGTTTTGTTTAAAGGTTAATATAGTTTTAAAATCTACCACTGATTGTGGTAGTCTCTTCCAGAATAAAATAACACAAGGGATAAAATGATGATTTATGATATGATTCCTATGATATTTTCCTGATGCAAACACACATCAAAATATTTACGCATGCCTACTGTTTTTATTTTGTTTTTGCTCTGATTTATTTTTTGTTGCTTGTTGATTTATTTTGGCAATTTTACTGTTTAAATTTTCCCAGAATTGGCAAGAGCAGTGGGTACAAGACTAATGAACTGAGCACAATGGAAGAAGGTCATTCACTTTTCATTGGTGGTAAAGAAATCGAGGTACATACAGTACTGACACCTAATACAATATTATACAAATACAAAGTTTGAACCTTTTCGCTAAGCCCCGCCCTTGGATGTGTTGCTAGGGCTCTACAAACATACGTCAAAATGTGCGTTTGTGGGACAAATCGTTGCAGGATTTTCTCCCTCAACCAAAAACAACAATTACTCCCTAAACCTCGTATTAAGATTTAGTTTCAAGTACTGTATAAAGCATCGTGTGTATATTTATCTTGTGAAAGATATTGTAACCTACAAGTAGGACAGTGATATATTCACTGTTGACAATCCTTTCTGCATGTGTTTTGTGCCCAAATAAATAAATATTAAATGTATGGTAAAAACAGTAATGTTACTGAATTTGTTTATTCAAGGTGATGAATAGATTGAGCAAGGAGGACTGGACATCTGGAAGGTGTTTTAACACAGCAGCTGCATCTGCTCCTATTGTGGATGTCCAAGTTAAGCCTAGAATTCCTGCCCTAACTAAAGGCTTTACCAAACCTACCATTGGAAACTCATCTGTCGTAAAGGTAAAAATAAACAAAGCCTTAACATTAGTTCTCTTGTCCATGTCCTATACTATAGTAATATGTATTGCACAGAATCACTATCAAACCCCTATTAGAGTGCTACATCATCAACTTGTAAAACAATTTTTTTTCAAGTGCTCATATATAATAATTATATAATGATTGTCTTATTTATTATTATTATAATTATTAAAATATTTCTTGAAGGTTTGCATGGCGAGTATTAATAAACATATAACAAATTTCCGGTACACCATGTGTAAATATAATAATATGGTTAATAGACAACCAACCAGTGGTTTTTGCCTTAATAAAAACCATATTATTTATTTACACATGGTGTACCGGAAATTTGTTATATGTTTATTTTAATTATTGTCATTACCGTAGAGTAATAACAATATTATTACAGTACTAACATCATGACATGAAATTTGGCCCCAATTAAATGAAATGCATTACAAGCCCTTGGTCAGACTGTTATGTCGAGATAGTCAAGCATCTTGGCCAACTGTCTAGGAAGAAAACGGACACCAATATTGTATTTCAGTATTTGTCATTCCTTTGTTCAATCTACCACTTATAGGCTTCCCAAACAGCACCGCTGAAACCTTTGTTTGACCCGTCTAAGCCAGACGCACTTGTCCTTCCACATCCAACCCCCACCCAACAATGGAATAGCCCAATAGGCTCCAGAGGCACGGTGGATGTTGTTGTTGATCCGCATCTTAGCAAGAAGCTGCGACCACATCAGAGACAAGGAGTTGTGTTCTTATATGAATGTGTTATGGGAATCAGGAACGGGCAGGGATGCGGAGCTATCCTAGCGTTAGTATTTCTTTGTTGAACTTTATACATAATTTTAAAAAACACAGTACACGCTTCAGAAAAAAGTAAGGGATTGTCTCCCGGCGTACTGTCCAATTCACCACCAGAAGGACCCCACTGGAAATAAGTCTTACTTAGTACTTTTGAGTGTTTTCCTTTGTGTGTCACACCAAAGGAATCCAATCCTATCCAAGGTAATATTTATTATGGAGAAATTTTTCCTGATTAATTTCTTGTCATTGTATAATACTTGTCAACTATCTGTGGAAATCAATTAATTTAAATGCTGTTTTTTTTTCAGGGATGATATGGGCTTAGGTAAAACATTACAATGCATTACATTAATATGGTAAGATCCCCTTTACATTGTCATCTTTTTTCTTAGCAAGTAGCAAGCTCATTGTACTGTATTGTCACTGACTATTTCTATTAAAAATATTAAATTTTTGCATAGTATACAGGTATTTCATTTGAATTATTTTCTGTTAAGTGTTATAAAACAATTTTTTTTTACACCTTAGTGATTGTTTCATTTAGTTTCTTTGTTTTTGTTTTCAAGGACTTTATTAAAACAGAACCCATTTGGTGTTAATCCAGTAGTGCGCAGGGTTTTAATAATAACACCAGGAAGTCTTGTGAAGGTAGGCTTTAATTATCTTATAAGGCCAACTCATACAGCCTAGTACAGCGCAGCTCGACGCCATTTGTCCCAAGTTTGTCTTTAGGCCGTAGCGAGAATATTAAACATATATTATTCAGTGTTCTACAACACAACTGTCCCTGATGCAGATCTATCGCATCTGCGCTTAACCCACACAGACCTGAGGCTACAGCAAAACATGTTAGGCTGTGTCGTAAATGCTGTCTGAGGTCACCATGAGTTGACCCTTACTTGTCCTTTAAATTGGACTAGTAATTGTAATTATTTTTAACTCCTGCTATTATTTTTATTCTTTTTTTTTTATTAGAATTATATTCACCTTTATTGAGTGTAGCTTTAATAACATTTCTGTTTTAGAAGGCAGTTCATTATTTTGGAATTTTTTTGTATTTTCTAGAATTGGTGTCGTGAATTCAGAAAATGGCTAGGGGTTGAACGAATTAAAGTGTTTGGAGTTACAGGCGAGTCAAAAGTTGAGGTAAAATGTTTTGCAAATGCTAAGTCTTCAATAATGTTGAAGATAATGTAACAATGATGATAATTATTGGTGATGATGGTATTTAAAGTAATGTTTTTTATGGTGATTCTAACTGTGTTGATGGTAGTTACGATCATGCTCATGGGATGATATCTATGACAAGCAATGATGATGACTATGACAATATAAACGTGATGTTGATAAAGTTGGTGATAGTTATGATGGCAGGGTTGATGATGCCACTAATAATGACGAAAAAACGATATAAATACTGACAATATTTATTCCATCAGGAATTTCTCCATTCCCCCATCTACCCAGTCATGGTGATCAGCTATGAGATGTTTGTGCGCTCAATCAACGATGTTCGCCGCTGCAAGTTTGATATTCTAATCTGTGATGAAGGTCACAGACTCAAAAACACAGGCATCAAGACAACTTCGGTAAGCCACACTACCATTGTTACATCAGCTGACATCGATCAATGACATTAAATCCAGGAGGAATGTAAAAAGCAAGAATTCACATAGAGAGAAGGACGTTCATGGAAGTACCATATTAATTTACTCAAATAAACTCCCTGGGGCAATAACTGTTGAGAAGAGTTTTTGAGGGGTGTTTATTCGAGGGAGGCGTTTATTTTTTTGGTAAAAATGGATACGTATACTTGTATAAATGCCCCTTAGTTACAACACATAATTACTGTTAAAATATGTTATTGTGTGATCATAAAGACTCCGGTTAAAAAATCATAATCCGGTTAGAAAATTTGTAATTCAACTTGAGTAGAACATTACAATGTGTTGAGAATGATGTTGCTTCCATTAGATTTGTTTACAGTAATTTAGGGGGTGTTCATTCAAGGCTGGTGATTATTCCAATTGAAGCTCTAGAAGGGGAGTTTATTCAAAGCCGGGCATTGATTGAAATAAATATGGTATGTCAGGATTAGATTTCTGTCTGTTAAACTAACCATTAAACCCTTAGTCCAGTCACAATTTTAAGTGAGTAATTTTTTTTTGGCATTTTTCTAGTTGCTTTCAAGTTTGCCAGTGAAGAGAAGAATCTTATTAACGGGGACTCCAGTCCAGGTGCAAATTTATTTTCTACTACAAAATGTATTCGCAATAAAATGTCTAAATTATATGTTTGGCATTTTAGAATACATAATGCAGGTCTCCCTCCAATTAGAGACTACATTTGGGACCAGGGTTACCATGTTCTTTAGCAGCTTTGGTCATTACAGTAATACAGGTAAAAGGCATTTGTTAATTTGGGACCACAGAAAAGTGGTTTTTAATTGGAGGTGGTCTCTAATTGGTTTAAACTTTAAAACATATAAAATAATGAGGATAAAATGTTAACAGCCAGACTCGAACACAGACCTAAAGATAGGAACCTGAACTAGCATTGTGCAAACTTCTCTAACTGTACTATTTTTAATAATGAATTTATTATTTATTTTCAATAAAGTATTTTTTGCAAGATTGTGCTTTAATAATTTTTCATATTTTTTAATATTTCAGAATGATTTACAGGAATTCTACTCACTTTTAGAATTCTGTAACCCAGGGGTTTTAGGTATGTAAATTAATAATAATAATAATAATAATAATAATAATATTAATATTATGTTTCTGTACCTGTGCTATACCATTATCACCATGGTAAATTTCCTGGAAAATAAGTAATTTGCATTATTTTTTTCAATTCACTCTCTAAGTTTGTACTTTGTTACATAAAGTTTAAAATTTACAGAGAGTGTAAGTGTTGTTTTGTTATATTATTTGTTTCAGTCCTAAGTATCCTGTGTTTAAATCTTGCAACTGAGTCCAATTAAATCCTAGTCAAATAAATAATATAATGTTCTCAGCTGTAGATCATCACTTTTTCAATCACATGACCCACAAAACTCTCTTTTGTGAACTCTTGTATATTTCTTAGGCTCAAGCTCCTCTTTCCATCATGTCTATGAAGCACCAATTGTGAGGTCACGGCAGCCTGATGCAACATCAGAAGAGAAGCAGCTAGGTCTAACAAGAGGGGTCGAGGTAAAATGGAATTGTATATAATCATTGTATTATCATTATCAGTTTGTAAATAATTATTGTGTATCTAAGACAATGTGTACCAAAGCACAGAAACAACAGCAAAAATAGGAAAAACTAAGACTATTTAACAATATTATTTTAAAGTTAATATATTGTTGTTTTATTTATTATTATTATGATTACCACTGTTTTTATCATTTCCATTATCATTATTCTCATCATCATCATTATTATTATACTTCATCTTTTAATTTTTTTGTTAAAAGCTCTTACACCCTATCCTAGGTACCATCTGCATACTTTCTATTACACATACTATACTGTTATCATAGGTGAATTCAAGTGGGGAGGGGGAATCCCCCATAAATTTGTCCAAATTAAAAAAAAATGAGATACAAAGAAAATTATATTTAATTTTAAGTCTAAGAGAGTGTCATTTCCGGCCATTTAGAGGTGTCATAATCATTAACTTTTCTTTCTTCAGCCTCAAATACGATGGAGCTGAGGTAGTATAGGCCCCCATTTGTAAAAGTCATCCCCTGTGCCCCCTACCTCCAATTCCTGGACCTGCCACTGATACTATCTATTACATACACATGCTGTTTTGTCAGTCCAGCATTTTTTCACTTCTGCTTTGTATTTGATATTATGTATTACAATCTTAATTTGAGGAATTTCTAAAAGCATTTGTTAAGGATGAGATAGTATGATAATGTAGAATATATGTATAGTATTATAGCATTGATTGATAGACTGATTGATTGATTGATTGACAGCTCTCAAGAATAACCAAACAATTTGTGTTGAGAAGGACTCAGGACATTAATAACAAATATCTACCCCCAAAAGGTAATTCTACAAATTGTTTTACATTTGACTCTACCTGGGTTCATTACTTCTAACTTTTTAGTCAGTCTGCAAAATTTGTTTCATTGTAAGACAGTTTGAAAGCTTAATGTTTTCTTTAAGAAGTAGTATATAATATTCTGGAGTTGAATGGCTTGGTGGTTAAGATGCTTGCCTTCCAATACCAGTGTCCTGGGTTCAATTCCTGTTAGTGTTGCAGAATTTGGTCTCACAACTAATACAACTCCACTCCCTAAACCTTATAATGAGATACAGTTTGTGTAAAGCATCATGTGTGTATGTGTTATATGCCTAAATAAATAAATATATATTATTAACAATAATTGAAAAAGGGGATAATATATAAATATAAACATAATGTATTTTCATCATATCTTTATTTTTTTTTAGTTGAGAATGTTGTGTTTTGTCGTCCATCAACTCTTCAACTCCAGTTGTATCAAGCATTACTCAAATCCCGAGTGCTTAAGGAATGCCTAGTGACAGGGTCCAGTGGCACTCTACACTTGATGTGCATTGCAGCCATAAAGAAGCTATGCAGCGGGCCTAGCTTGATATTGCCTGCCTGCCTAGAGGTTGAAATTTCTAACAACCAGGAGACAAATTCGGTAATAAAAAATAATAACAATCTTATTATAGAAAATTTATGCCAGTTAAATTTTCCATTTAGGAGCCAACGCTTATGGCACCCCTTCAGAAGAAAGAAAAAAAAAATAATGAAAATTAACTAAATCAGATACACTTTAAGAACCAGAAACACAGTGATATTACATGAGTCGGACTTTGGTGAGTGGCACTCTCTATGTGGCCGTGTATACAGAGATACTCCTTATATGGTGGTATGCTTGGCTTCAGTAGTTTTCATCTAATACTGTAATAGTACAAATGTATGAGCCAATATCGTTTTGCAGAAAATAATGGCACATACCAAAGGTATTTATTAGTGTTGAACTTCAAATATATATTAAAGTGCATTGTACCAAGCAAAACTAGAAACAAGTTATCATGAAATAAATCCTACCTACCATAAACTTGGAAAATATATATTTGTTTATATTCAGTGTTGAATATAGTGGAAAATAAGTATATAAGCATCATGTGTTTATAAAATCTAAAACTAAATTGATGCTATAGTGAGATCTACCAAGTTCCATTTGAAATTGATTATATGTGGTTCTTTTATTTTAGTCAGTGCTGTACCAAGGCCTTCATAATCTCTATCCAGACCACTTCACAAGTGACTACTTCAGTGTTGAATACAGTGGAAAGTTGAAAGTGCTCTCAGAACTGCTGCATTCAGTCCATCAAGAAGAGCCAGCATCAAAAGTTGTTGTTGTGTCTGCATATACCCAGGTCAGTGTTTAGGCATCACCATAGTTCACCATAAACAGTTTTCTACATTTTGCGTAAGATTGAATCCTCAACATCATTCGACTTTGGGACTGCAGTAAAAATGCTCTTCTTCTAAATCTGCATTCAAATCCAGTCCGATCCTAAATTCGTAGAATTTTTCGATGCGCGTCCAGTACGTGCCTTTATTTTCTTTTTTCGTTTTGTTAGCCATTCGGTACAAATCCACCATAATCCACTAGATGTATTACCTTTGTCAATCATAATGTTAACATTTTTTTAAATTTTTTTTGTGCTATCCATACAGACATTGGATCTTCTGCAGCGTCTTTGTGACTCTGCTGATTACAGCTTCTGTCGTCTAGATGGCAGCACACCAACAGCAAAACGACAACAAATCGTTGAAAGTTTCAACTCCAAGTATTCAACAGATTGTAAGTTGTGAGATTTTAGAGACTTATGTTGTCACCTGAAGAAACCATGTTAGTTAGATTATAAAACAATCAATGAAAACTGCTTTTTATACTTGTTTGTTTTTTTAGTTTAATTCCGATAAATAATAGAATTTCCTAATTAACAGCTTTTTAATTAATTTTTCAGTTGTATTTCTGTTGAGTTCCAAAGCTGGCGGTGTTGGCTTGAACCTGATTGGTGCATCTCGTCTGGTTCTGTATGATGTCGACTGGAACCCAGCCAATGATCTTCAGGTAATATCTGGTTCATTGAAGTTTTAATTCTGCCTCACAATTGCATATTGTTCTTAATAATATTTGAATAATTGTTAACAAAAATTTGAATATTTATTGTATAATTTGCATTTTAATTTTCTGTTTTTTAAAGGCTATGGCTAGAGTATGGCGAGATGGACAAACAAAGGATGTACATATCTACAGGCTTTTAACAACAGTAAGGTTTTCTATGATTTGTTATTTTATACAGTAAAAATACAATTAAAGACTCATACATTTATCTAAAAATTTGAGCCTACCAAAAATATGATCGCAGCTATGATACATCTTTTAACATTCCTTACTGTACAATTTTTTAAAATTTAATTTTACACATCACTTGTTGTTTTTCTGTATTTGAAAGTTGTAAATAACAGTCAAATGTGCACAGAATCTGTAGGTAATATTTTTATTCATTCACAGGGCACAATAGAAGAAAAGATTTACCAGCGTCAGATAAGCAAGCAGGGCCTTAGTGGAGCTGTTGTAGATGCTAATATTGACACTAAGTCTGCGTTCTCAACAGAAGAACTTAAGGTCAATTTGCTGAAATTGTTTATTACTTTCATTATACTAAATTTTATACTTCATCTTTATTGTCAGTTCACTGTTAAGATTTTAAGTCATTTTAATTTAATGATTGAATAGTTTTATCTTGTTTTGTAACTGTATAATCCATTTATTTTTAAACAATTATTATTTATTTTTTTATTTTTAAATATTGGTTTACTTGTTTAAAAATAATTGGATTATACATTTTAATTAGTTATGGTTGTAATAAGTGGAGCTTAAATTACAATAAAATATAAATTTGTTTCTACTGTATTTCGTCTCTTCATTTTTAGGATTTGTTCACGCTACATGATGATTCTCCTTGTGTGACCCATGACCTCTTGAACTGTGACTGTGCCTTGAAATCAAATGCACATAGTTTACATAAGCAGACGCAGACTGTATCCAAGTCAAAAGTGAGACAGTGTCAGCTTGGTCGTGTATCCAAAAGTTTGAATCAGCGAAGCGTATCGATGGACGAACTGCTTAAGTGGCAGCATATACCTGGACCCAACAGCCAAACAAATCAAGTAAGTAGGATACATGTTTATTTTTTTCGAATTTGTGATTACTTACTTGGATAAATATGTGATAATATGCAAATTTAACATCCCTGAAAAACAATAGAACTGTCCATCTGCTCATTGGTATTCTCTTTTAACCAACATACTGTGCTATAATTCACCAATCCCTCATTTGTTTTTTGTCATCTTTATCACCCTTCATTGCGGCTGGTTTTTGAAAACAGTTTAACAAATGATTGAGTCGAGTGGCCGAGCGGTAAGGGGTGCCATGAACTACAGCCTTAACATCGGCACTGGTGCAAGCATTACTCCTCTTCTCAGATAATGACTTAAAATGGAGGTCCACTGTACACATCTGGCTTGTGTGGGCTTTAAAGAACTCATTGCATCTATCGGAAGAGTAGGGGGTTACCCTGATGCCAGGGCTGGAAAAAGTACACGACCGGCGGTCGGAGGCATTGACCATTACCCCGGAGAAATTTTAGGTTACACGTCACAATTTAATGCATACCGGTAATTAAATTTGGTATTTATGCTTGCTCCAAACCACTAAATATACTACTGTTTAGCTATAATAGTGTAAAGATAACATTTTGTGCTGGAGGCAATTGATCGAGTAATTTTCATGGTCGGAGGCACAAAAATATTTTTTTCCAGGCCTGCCCGATGCTATGCTTCATTTCAGCCCGTCATTGTGGAATGATGTGTGCATGAATCTACTATAAACGTTCCTTTACGTCGAGCTAGGTAGTCACATTCCAGTACGCAATTCAGCACAATGACACTGCAAGTTATGGGTTGTTCCCCTACCTAGTTTTTACTGTTATTTTGTTCACAATTTTCACAAAGGAGCTTTCTGGAGTGTCAGTCAAACTTAACAGCTGAGCAATCAGCTGTTTAAGTTTGACTGACATTCCAGACTTAACAGCTGAGCAATCAGAACTGTACATACTTGTCCCACAAACACATGTGTGTAGGTTTGTTTACACTGTTGTTTTGTAGGACCTTAGCAACAATATCCAAGGTGTGTGGCTTTAGTGAATAGGTACGTTGTTTCAAGCTCATTTAGATTTTAATGTAAACATTTTTTTATTTTGTTTATTTCTAGGACCCGCATCTTCAGAGTGAAACCATCACCTTTATATTCCGCAATGAAGTCAACCAACCCAGTGCCTCCAACACATAATAGAAAGGTTGCCAGGTCTTGCAACATTTTTTGCCAAAATGTAGATTCATGTTAAACTTTAGTTGAACCAACAAATTCCACTAAATTGATACTAACAAACATAGAGCATAAGCAGTAGTTATAGTTGAATTCAAATAAATGATTTATTTATATAAACATAGAGCATAAATATCTACATTTTTGTATTCATCCATAAAACAATATAATCTACAATGATTTTCTTATGTGATTCTATGGACGGATTCATTCAGTACATGAATAATGGAAGAAATGCTATACTGCATTATTTGGTACAGTACAAGTACTCACTTTGTATTAGCTTACAAACAATTGTATGTTACAGATGTCACAGACATAACTACAAAACATATTCATTATTCTTTCTCAAATTTAGTGTACAATGCATGACCATCTTCAAACCAATAAATCTCTTAGGTGTGGTAAAATTAAACTTAGGCACCATATTCTTATGGAAGATACAATCCTTCTGGTAAATCTGAAGTATTTAAATTGTATGTTACTGTATCAAACAATTTTACAATTCATGTAATAAATTATTAAAAGCACTTTAAATGTGGAAAATTGTGTGTCATTTTCATTGAAGTGGAAGTATTGTCATTGGTTGGTGGAAGGTGGTGGAAGTAACATATTATTAATCATTCTTTTTAAATAGATATCATTAGCCTCTATCCATACTATCAAATTTACGTGACAAGTTTGTGTGATGTGCCCATATATGGGCATAATGATGTCATATTACACCCAAAAAAGGGCATATCACATTTATTTGTCAAATAAAATTTGATAGTGTATAGAGTCTTAATCCCCATCCAGTCTATCAAATTTTATTTGAGAAAAACATGTGACATGCCTAAATATGGTCATGATGACATCACAACATGACTAAATATGGGCATTACAACAGTTTTGAGGTCCAAGAAAATTTGATAGTGTGCACAGAGCTTTAGTCATAAAGTCTGGATAAACCTTTAAAAATCCAATTAAAACATTGAGAGCACTACAAAAATCCTTGAATGGATTATCAACAAAAGTACAGTAAACGTAAAGCTACAGTAAGCTGTTGTTGCCCTTGCAACTTAACTCAGCTGACCTCAACTAGTCGCACTCATGTAAAACCTCTCTCGCAACTACAAGAAACTACAGTAGGTGGAACTAGTTGCCCAAACCGCTTATGTAACTTCCGACTATAGAAATTGTCTACAACCAGTTGCCATGCAATTTGTTAAAAAGTTTTTTCGCATGGCACATGCACAGTATATAATAAGCTGACCGGCTAACTGTCACATGGCCATTGAAACAGCGAAAATAGGACATGGGCAACTGAGAGAAACTGGCGACAGAAGCGCTCATGTCAGCTGAGTTTAGCTTGAATAGGGGGCTTTCGATTTGCGCTACTACGCAACGCTAGAATGGATTCACTAATGTGTGACCGTGCTACATATTATATACACAACATTGATTTTGCGAAACTGCGTCATAGAATCCACACAAGGGGAACTTTACATTCTCGCATCCGCGATGACCTTTTAGTGATGTTGCATATTTATATTATTACAATACCAAGAGGATCTCTTCTACCAGATTCAATAGACGCCCCCCCCCCACAAACCCAAAATGCAATATGCACATTAAATGCACTATTGATTTTTTCATTTTACAGTACCTCTCCCATTAACATGATAAAATAATGCCTAAAATTAATGAAGGCATGCAGTATTTTAAACTTATACGAAATACACACTTTATTTTATTTCTATAATTGTCACAATTCACATTATTTAATTTCTATTGCCTCTTAGTTGACTTTAACAAGAGCTTGTTTCTTGTCCACTTTGCGGTTGACCTTTTGCCCTTTTAATTTCTCGTTCCTGATAACGTTGTGCTGGATCCTCAGTGGAGGTTGAATGTTTTCCAATTTTGGAGACTTGGAGAACTTCAACATGTTACCGACTTTATCCATAACCAATCTATTAATAAAGAGAAATATAGAAACAACAATTGAAAAAAACTACATCAATATAGTGAATATACAAAAAAACACAACCTGACCAACAGGTTTGCTGAATTACAGCATTAATTTTCCTCGGAAAACCCTCCAGAATTTGGTGACGAACACAACAAATTACTTTAACTTAAAATCTATATATAGCTATAGAGTACATTATAAAAATATATGAACAAAAGTTAACATCTCACATAAAATGATTTCCAGAGGTATAAATATCTAGAGAAAGTTCCTTGGATTCATATAATCAAAGTATATATAACATGTAATACAATTTATGTTTCAATGCCCACCATCTACTTACCGAACATAAGTTCTGACTTCTGAAATGTACAGGGCGTCCTCATCAACATCCTTCATGGGAATATTTTCAGGTGCAATTAGCTGTAAAAGTTCAGAACATTTTACTCATTATACTGTCCTACCTTCAGCTTAACTCCTACATTAAACCGCACACTGCGTTTATCACAGCTAAACAACAGCACAATCTGGTCCTGAGCTAGGCATCTTAGGCTCACATATTTAGAGATAGCAAAGCAAATGGGTTGGAATGGTGGGGCGTGTACGTGAGTTGTTTGGTCCTTCCATGACCATCGCTTCTTCCTAGCACCTTGGCTATCAAGGAACGTTCCACCAAACTGATTCATATTCAACCTAAAAAAAAATAAATCAGTAGGGAAATAATATTAATCATCAAATTTTATATTTATGATAATGAATGAAGAATAATGTCAACTGAGTTTTAACTACCAAGGTATGACGGTGCTCATACAAAATATTGACTCCTAGTCACTAAGAAAAACTAATAAAAAGAAAAATACTAATTCAGCACTATATACAAAAAACTCAATTTTGTCAGACTGTAGGATTTGGCCAGAGCCAGTCACATTATTTTTCACATCAAGCCAGCACCCTGTATGTATCCCTCCTCGCATTTAGAAATGTCTATTATTTTGACATGTACTAAAAAATAATTTGTAATTATCATTTTTTATTTTTCATTAACATGGCCTTACTTGACATTGCCATTGGGATGGTAGCATGTTCCATGACCTGTTGGTTCAAACACAGCCAAGATGGCCTGATTTATGGGACGGTCCTCCTGAATGATGTATGTAAACTGTCCTTCCTCAGTTGAGGTTATAAGAATAGCAGGGTTGCCAGACGGATAGCTAAGGGTTTAAAAGTTAAGGTTAAAAATTTCCAATAAAATCAGAGTTGTAGGTTATATGCACCATCAGACACAATACTCATCATTATTGTTATTATCACGTGTCTCTCATCATCATCCTCACTTCCTCATTTCAAAATCAACATCATTATGAGAATCATCTTCAACAGCTGTCATTACCAACATAACAATCACCATCCTCCTTATATCCAGCCTCATCACCACCATCATCCTCACTAGTAACTTCAACATCATTACAATTTATTTATTAACACATCATCTTCCTAACCATTCAACATCAACATCTTAAAAAGCATCACCGTCATCCTCAATCTTGCCATCATTTTAAATATCATTGACACTATCCAGATATTAATTATTCGAAGGATACAAAACAGTGCCAGTTCCATCTGGGAACATGATAAGGAACGCATTTCCATCTTCATAAGTCTTCTCAATCAAGGTCACCTTCCGTTGGCTTTCTTTCTGTAATCGACAAAAAAAAATTGTATAAGGTAATCAGATAACTTTATTATTCCACTAAGGGAAACTCATTGCTCGCCATCACTTAATACAAAGGTTAAAAGTTATTCATTTATATTGCGCAAAATACAAGTCTCTATGCGCATAACAAGTGAAAAGATGTAACTGGAAAATGAAAAAAAGAAAATCCAAGCCAGCACCCAAACCGCAGTATGGGGAGACGCCCTCGTCGCTGAGTAGGGATCTATCAAAATGTACCCTGTCCAGCACCAGTTGAGTCCCGGCCATCCAACAATATATAAAATATATATTAATATATACATAAATACAGTCATCACAAATATTTCTTTTTTTAAATTTTGGAATCATATTTTAATGATCAATGCAAGTCAGAAGCTGATCAATAGGGACCCTAGATAAACAAGAAAATACTAAGTAATTAAATATAAATAATAATATAGAGATTTATACCAGCCTTTTGCCAAGGATTACAAGGCGCTGGCGATATTGTTATAAGGGAGCTTTCGAATGCACGACGACGGTAGGACGTAGAACGTAATGACGTCACTAAAAGTCATCTGCACATGCGAAACCGTTAAGGTCACCTCGTCGAGCAGATTCTGGAATGCAATTTGGCCAAATGTACATATGCAGAGAATGTAGGATGCCAGGTAGGACGGTCACGCATGAGTGATTCCGGTCACGCATCGTGTCATCGCACAAATCGAAAGCTCCGTATTATTACTCCTGCCATCAGATCCATAATCAAACCAGCACAAAGTGCAACCTCCTCCACTCCCTGGGGAGTATTCCTAGTTGTGCAAGCAATTTAATGCCGATGCAGACTAATAATACTTGCAATGTCACATCATCCTACCAGGTACCCAACCTGGGTGGAGAGAGGCAAACGTAAGTCCTTGCCCAAGGACACAAGCATTGCGCCGAGCATCGGTCTCGACCTCCCTGTTGAGAGAGGCAAACGTAAGTCCTTGCCCAAGGACACAAGCATTGCGCCCAGCATCGGTCTCGACCTCCCTGTTGAGAGAGGCAAACGTAAGTCCTTGACCAAGGACACAAGCATTGCGCCGAGCATCGGTCTCGACCTCCCGATCACAAGCCTAACACCTTACATGCTTACATATATGTCAATTTCAAATTTGATTAATATATTTAAAGAGACAATAGACAATTAAAATTCCTTCATGACTTAGCAATAATATCTAAGGGGTGGGACTTAGAAGAAAGGTCCATTGTCATTTGTGACATGTTAATGCATCATTTATTTCATTTCAGTCCTAAAGGTTATTTTTTGCAATTCAGGTAATGAGCCTACCATATTCCTAAAGGCTGAGGGTATAACTGGCTCCGGTTCATATACATCTGGCGTCTTGAGTTCATCATCGCTTGGGGTCGAAGGTCTCAGTGTCCAGCCATCATCAATGTATTTTTGTGATGACAAAGAGTAGTTGATAGTTTTCATTTGTCTAGCAACTAAAATGAAAAATTTGAAAAAAAATATATAATAGTATTATTTACATTAATATTCTCCTGAAGAATAATCAACCCTGAGTATAGCACTGTGTTTGTTTTTATTATTTATTGATACAAATAAAATACATGCTAATTCATTTCCTTTGTTTGAAAATATTAATCAAGTTCATTAATAATATAATGCTAAACTAAAGCAGGGCACATGCTGCATTTTAAGACCATTGGCCATCTTGCTCTTTGTTAGTGATTGACAAAGAGATGCCATCTATTGATTGTCAATGGAAGATGCTGTAGCGGATCCAGAAATGCGAAATTGAGGAGGCCCAGAGAAGAACCTTCACAGATGGACGGTCTATTAGAAAATTTATGATTATGGCACCTCTAGATGGCTTGAAATGGCACTCTCAGACTTAAATTTGAATTTAATTTCTATTTTTTTTTAAATAATTTTGAAAAATTTGTGGGGGGGGGGGGGTTGCTGGCTTGGGCCAGATGAGCCCCCCACCCCTTCAATCCGCCACGGAAAAGGAGCCAATTATAAACGATCCATTGAATGCATTTTGTCACGTTGCATTCACCACGGAATCACTTTGACCAATGACCGCCTACACAGAGTGTGCCCGGCTTTAGCTGACTGGAATGAAACCTTACCTTGTACTAAATGATGAATGATTCAATGGATGGGTGTGCACATGATGGCAACATGCAGTTAATGACCAATAAGCAAGCAGGCACAGATGATGTAATAAAGGCAGGATTGGGAGGAGGTGGGGTAAAAACATGCAAACAATTAATATTTATAATCATAGATGCCATGATGATTGAATACAAAAACTGAAACAAAAATGCATACTTTCTACAAACATGTTATATAAACTGTTTGAATAATGTTAAAATTGATAAAACATTAATAATACAAGGGAATGATGCACAATTACAGTTATATTATTAATTTTTGCTTTCGAGTCCATGGGACTGACTTTAAAATATGAAGTAATCTAATTTTGAATGTTTTTAAATTTTCATTAAATTTTCAAAACATTTGCAATATTTAATAGCCATCAATAAATCACAAGATCTTGCAGGGAAACAGTAGGATTTTTAGTCGCTTCTTGAAAATCATAACACTCTTCGACGTCTTAATATCAGAGGAAGAGAGTTCCATAGATATTTGTGGCAAAAACAAGTCAAAGCAGTCACTGGCCGCAAAAATTGATTTTTAGTTATTTATGCAGGGTTACACAGTAGAATGAGAGCTATGAAATGGTCATTTAAATCCGACATTTCCTTTTGAAGTTACAAGTGTTTAAACATACAGGTGTTTAAAGACCAATATTTGAGAAATCAGCCTTCAAAATTTACGATTTCAGGCATTTCTCAGGCAGAAACCATCACCAAATCAATTAAAATTGATATTTTAACATTGAAAAAAAGGAAAATAACAGCATAGGCTGATGTATAGATAAATAAAGGTTAGTTTAGTGCAATAAAATAGATTTCAAAAATTTTGAAATTTTAGCATGTTTTGGTCATTTTCTCTGAAATACCATTTGCAACAAGTGACTGGTTTGGCTTGTCTTTGCCAAATTTTATGATGATAATAATAATGATACTAGCACGAAAATTATTGTAACGCATGCCTTGTGAATAATTAATAATTACAATTCATAAAAGATATCTTACAAAATAATTCAAATTACTTACATGCATAGAAATTGGCTTGATTTGCTCCAGCTGCTTTCTGTCTGGCCATCTCCCGTTCCCGCATCCTTTGAGCAGCCCGTTCCTTAGCAGCTCGACGAGCTTGTTTGCTACCGAACGGAGCATGAGGGGATATGTCTATAAGCTCCTCCACTGGGAATTGAGCATCGGGACTGTGCGTCATTGTAAACTCAACAAACTTGTGGTAGTCATTACAGCAGTAAAGCTGAAGAAGATATGAACAGATTAAAATTATCAAATAATTAAAAACTAAATAAACATCAGCTACATGTTTTTGGGTTCGTTTCCAACCCAAATCACTTGTGAGATATTCTTTTTAACAAGTATTTTGGAACATACTGAGCATTCAGTACAATAACACGTCAGGTAGGGAATAAACATCATTCATCATTCAAACATATTTCTCATGATGTAAACGCTATAGGAACAGCACTGCAGACTTAACTGCTGCTACTTGGGGATCAGATACATAGCCACTAAGTGCAATTTAAGTGGTCTTGTGGTAAAGACACCAGGCTAGTCATCTGGAGGTCGTGGGTTCGATTCCGACCCAAATCAATTATGAGATTTTTTTGCAAGTATTAAGGAAATGTACTGAACATTCAATAAGATCAGGTAGGGTAAAAACATCATTCGTAAAGATTTAAAAAAAAAATATAATTAAACTTTTGTTTCAGGAAATCCAAGGGTCCAACCCAGAGTGATAATTCAAACACAGGAGGGAAAGCCACCTCCGGGTGTCCAACCGAGACCTTGGGAGTCTGACCCAGAACAACTGGTACAACCAGGGGTACTGTACTGTACATTCAAAGGGGGGGAAAGTCGAATATCCAGGGGTCTGATCTAGTTGGAAAAGCCCAACTCTGGGCATTTAACAACATCAAGTTTTGTGCTACAGGGTAATTACTAGTAATAATATAATTCAGAATGAATACTATAAATTAAAGAAAAAAAATCTGAAATCTAATAAAACTTGAACGTACATCCTTTTCCGGAAATGCATCCAGCATTTCTGGAGTTGGGAAGGGCTGTATGTCTTTGGTACAGAACTCGCACTGTCCACTAAACATGCCGTCTATTTCCTCACTTAGGGCCAACGAATCTGGTGATAACATTCGCTCCTCGTAGATCACCGGATGCTTCATTTTAATGAGGTTCTTCTCAGATTCTCTTTGGTACTTTAGAATTACTGGTGGACCAATTTTAGGTACAAGTTCGGAGAGGTCATCCACACCACCAAATAGGTTGTCATCATCAGAATCCTGAAACGAAACGGAAAACAATTTTAAACTGATTTCAAACAGACCATTTAGGCAAGGATTAACTGTTTTATTAAAAAACATGACGCAAACATGTTTCTGCAGTACCACAGCCATCTTCAGTGTAACATGCTTACAAGCAAATTCTATTATTTATAGGAGCGATGAATGCGATAAAATATCATGATACATAAGTGAACTGAAGCATATGAAAGAAAGGCATGAATAAAGATGAAGAAATACATGAGAACAAATGGGTTTCTAAATAACATATTCTGATTGGTCAGTTGTAAGTTTGATTGACACTGCGGAAAGGTCCATTTTGAAAACAGGTGTTCTTACAACCCAAAAAAGTAAAGTACCTCAGATTCAGAGTCAAGTTCTAGTAGTGGAAGACCTTTCTCATCATATCCATCTTTTGTTGTCTTGAGTTTAGCATTATGTTGGACAACTAAGGCAGTTTCTAAATCAGTTGTATCAGACACACTTGAAACTACTGACGATTTATGACTTCTGGGCTTCTGGACTACACCACTTGGAGATTGGATATTACATTTATCATCATTAAATTGATCTAGGTTTAGACAAATGAAAATAAATCTAATTGATAATAAGTTTGGCATAGTAAAAATATTTTTTTATTTTATAAAGATATGAATAATAACATCGTAGTTGCAAAACAGCCTCCATCCATTTATTAATATTTATAACATTCAGATATTAACTAATTTTTTTCCTCTAATTTTAGAAAAAAGGCTTACCTCCACCGTCATTTTTGTGTAGATCATCTTTACCAGCAAGTTTCATACTCTCAAACCAGCTCCACTCTGTTTCTGTGGCAACAGACACAAGGACATGTTCCTTGCCTTGGTCATCTTTTGTACACGTTACCTCCCGCACTGCTGGGGATTTTAATTTTTCTCTCTGTCTCTGTGAGTCCTTACTATTTGGCCTCCTGCAGTATAAAAATAATTCAATAAAGCTTTGTCCACACTGTCAAATTTTAAGGAATAAATAAAGGTCTGTCCACACTATCAAATTTTCTTTGACAGAAACTGTTGTATGCCCATATATAGTCATGATGTGCCTATATATGGTCATGATGTGATGTCATCATGTCCATATTTAGGCACGTCACATGTTTTTGTCCAATAAAATGTGATAGTCTAGACAGGACTTAAGGCAACTATCAAAGAATAGAGTAGAGTATAGCATTTTTAAAGTGTTCCATTGAGGAAATATAAATTTAACTGCCTGCTCCAGTAGGTCAACCTTTTTTTTTTCAAAAGACAAAATATTGACCTAATGATTAATTCTACGGGCTAATCAAAGCATGTCAGGTAGAAAAAGTTGTTGTATGTACTTTAAGCTGATAATATGACTGGTGAAGTTTTTTTTTACTAGATTTGTTTTATTAAATATTATTTTTATACTTAAACAAAATTAAAATAACACCACATTTAATATCTATACTGCAATAATGATGTAAATATTTAGAATTTTAAAAATCTATGTTTTGATGCTGTTTGCATTTGTTTTAAATGTTTGCATACGGTAGATTTAAATGTTTTTGATAAAAAAACATCGTCTTCATTATCATTTATATTTTTATTATAATTTATTTTTTAATTGCAGCAATTTCGGAATTCTCTGCCATTTGTATTATCTTCATAGCACTGTATACTCACATTTCATGATCGTCTTTGAAAGATACGGACCTCTCTGTTCTTTTTGAAACAACACTGTCCGGAGTCTTGTCAGAGCGGTTGGACAGAGCAGAATCATCACACATTTCAATTGGAAGCTCTCTTCTAAAACTTAGGATTCTTGGTTGACCTGTAAGAAAAGAAAATAAATAATGACAATGTACTGTACAAGTACATGTCGGGTTTGGATTATCTTCAAGTAGGGATTTAAAGAGAATTTTCTTACTTTGTCTTCGGTTTATATTACTGTCATTTGTCTTTTCACTGACAGAATTATCATTTCCAGCTTCATCATCATTTCTTCTGATTGGTGGTAGAGGCTTGGGACTACCCGTCCTCATCTCTCCACCTGATACCAAGTCTGGTAGACTTGCCTGCCTGGCACCACTGAGGATACCATTTTGCTTACTGTCCTCAACATCTCCTGCAACCCTGGAAGAACTTCTGAGAGGTGCAAGAGGACTGGAATTCCTCAAGTTCACATTATCTAGGAATGATTTTGTAGGGCTTGCAGATCTTTGCTCCGATTCCCGCTTGTCCTCACGGATCGTAGCTTCTTCAAGTTTTTTGACATTTTCAACAGTAAGACTGGATGTTCGACGGACAAATTCCTGCTGATTGGGTGGTGGTATTTCTCCAATTGTTCTGTCAGTTGATGTGGAGAATACAGCATCATCTTCAATTACTTCTGTCTGTGGTACATCAGGTACATTCCTACCATCATCTGCCATCTACGAAAACAACAGATTGTTTAATAGTACTTGACTTCGGTATAATAACTTCTTGATCTCCTGTCATAAAGCATCGGCTCAACGGAAGACAGATTATTTATTGAAAGACACTAATTCTACATCTGTAAGGCCCACAATATATTGGATAACCTGGCTTCCTGATCTACCTACTCCAGGCCTATTATTATTATTATTATATTATTATTATTATATTGACTTTATTCAGGAATCAATTCTGCAATGAGCTAGGAGCGTGTGGTATTTTTAGGTGGGCCATAGGCCTAGGTAGGTAGGCCTATGTAATTTAATTAGTTATATAATTATATATTAATTATTATCCATTTATTTATTTATAATTTATAAAAATGGGCTAGCCTAGGCCTAGAGTTTTAAAAAACAACCTTCTCTAACAAATTTAAGGCAATAAAGTTAAAAAAACACCAAACAACCATCCATCATATGAATGAGGAAAATTATTTTTGAGGTCCTAAAATAATAACAGGGCCATCAAGAGGGGAAACTGTAATGGGGCAAAGGTTGATTTGGTCCCCCAGTAACTGTCGCGAAAGATTGCGCCAAACGCGCAAACATTCTTTTTTGAGAGGGCCCTGTCAATCTGGAGGGGCCCATGGGACCCATGTCATTTTTGAGGGCCCATGATAGTAGGCCAAGGGCCTAGGTTAGGCCTAAGGCCTCTAGCCTAGTAATTATTATTAGTATAGTTAATTATTATTTTTGAAAGAAATATTTTTAAAAAAATCCTACCTTCATTGCTTCAATTCAATTTCTCCATGATGGGCCCCCTGGTAAGCTTGGGGATCTTGCCACCTGGCCCTCTTGCCTGGGTATAAGCTCTAGACCTCAACTAGGCCTAGGCCACCTACTACCAGTCCTAGCCTAGAGGATTACCTGCTTACTCTTCCTAGCTATGTCTAAAGTAACCTAGGCCTAGGCATGGCAGCAGCAGCCTAAAAAACTAAGAAGATAAGAAGAGAGGCCTATAGCCTAGCCCTAGTCTACATGTGCTGTATTTTATTCTAATAATAATGGCATAATGGCATTAAAATCTTAACGAATGGTAGGCCTAAACACTAACCACTTAGTCCGTCCACTTAAAATGTTGTCCCCTATTCCAAAATTATCATTATTTCCTTGATTTTCGTTAATCATTCATAAAATTTGTTTTGGTACTGTCGAAACATGGCGAACTAGCAAAAGATTTACAAAGATGATTACTTTTGCTGCTAGGTAACCTAATCACGTGCACAAAACAATGCCCGTTGATTAGTTCAGCGACGGTGGGTCAGTTCATTAATATAAAAGGTGTGTTTATTTTATATTATTTGTACAGCTAGCGCACGACACGCCTCAACATTTTATTTTATTTTTAAGTTACTCATTATTTGAAAACGATATCTGGCCATCTCACAGGCGAAATATCTATTTGATGACATGTTATTGTCTAATACTTTTCTTTCTATCCTCTTCCTTCTTTATTTTTCTTCTCCTTTCGATTCCATTCTTCTGTTCCATTCTG